CTTGGAATGAAATACAAAATAGGGCTGGGGGTGTGGCTCAGTGGTCAAGTGCCCCTGAGTTCAGTCCCCAGTACCAAGAAGAAAAGAAAAAGAAAAAAAAAAGGTAAAGGTCTGATTTGCAGATGATATGATTATGTAACCAAAAGGACCCAAGCAAATAATCAGGGAAAAAAACTATTACAAGCAAAAAGTAAACTTAGCCTGTTGCAGTATAAAAAATTAAATATGTGGAAACCAAAATATCTTATTTTAAAATTTGTTGACTCAAAATGAATAGAGAAGGAAGAGCTGGAAGGGGCCCGTTCAGTGCTGCCTGGCCGTCCTCTTCCACTTTCTTTGAGCCTAGACCGCAGCCCTCCTCACCCGCTGTTGTAACCCCTTCCTTCTTCAGGATCTGATGGTGACACTGGCTCCTGTTTAACTGAGGGAGTAGGAGCAAAGCATAGTTGTGCTTTCACACTGCAGCTGCCTGATTCCTGCCCATCTGTGCCGACTTCTCTTCTTGTCACTTATCCCTGCCTCCCGCTGAAGCACACTGCTCTTGGAATCGAGTCTCTCATTTTTCCCTTTCTCCCATCCTGGAAGAAAACACCTATTGATATGGCACTTCTCCTTTCTGAGGCTGACCCATTTTTCCATTCACCTCAGCACCAACAAACAGTTGGTCAACCAACAGTCAGTTCCTATTTTCTCTCCTCTGAATGTCTCTCTCTTGAAACCACTGCAGTCAGGCTTTAAGCATAAATGTTCTTGTTGGAGTCACAGTGACCTCCAAGATGCTTAATTTAGTGGTCATTTCTCAGGCCCCATTTCACTTGGCCTGTGGCATTTTTCCTTGGCTCCCGGGATTCATTCTCCTGGATTTACTGCTGCCTCTCCAGCTGATCCTTCAGCCCTTTTAGAGCCTCCTGGCCTCTTCACCATGGCAGAGAACCCCAGGACTTTCCTGCCCCCCCCCTTTATTTCTGAAAACAGCCTTCTCTTTAGCCTTAAATGCCATCTTCATGCTGGGGACTCCCTCTCAGACCTTGCCCAGACTCCCTCTGCACTCCAGGCCTTTTTATCAGCAGCCTTCTTGGCCACCTTCATTTAAATGTCCAGTAGCATTTTAAGACATGACAGTTCCAAAATCAGACAGCTGGCCTCCCCTCCCTCAGCTGTTTCTCTGTAGGTCTCCATATCTATAACATGCACCCTCAACCTTCAGCCGCTCAGGGCAGAAACCTCCGAGAACCAGAGCTCTCTCAAGCCCCCATGAAATCCCTCCCCGGATCCTCTCAGTCTTTACTTTTACAGTGTCTGGAATCCAATCACCTTTCATTGCCTCAGCCTTTTTCTTCACCTGGATTATTACAGCAGTTTCCTTACTGGTTTGGTGTGTGTGTGTGTGTGTGTGTGTGTGTGTATGTGTGGGTTTTTTTTTTTTTTTTTTTGTTATTTGTTTTTGCTCTTATTCTAAATAGTCCATTCTGCGCACAGAAGTCAGAGGACCTTTTAAAATCATTTTGTGTCTCGGTTCAAAACTCTTCACATTCAAACTTGACATACCTGAAACCGAACTCCTGACCTACACACACACACACCCTATGCCCCTTCTGGCTCTCAGGTACAAGCCGGAAGAGCCGGAAGTCCTGACACCTACCAAGACCAGGTGATCTGGCCCCCTGTGACCTCTCTCCTGTCCCTCCAGGCATTATTAACTGCCTCTCCTGTTCCCCCATTCAGGCTGCCTGCCCTCCTTGCTGTTCAGGGTGTCCTTGGGCTGCCGTCTGACTGGCAGGCTCTTCCCCAGGTATCCATGTAGCTCCCCACCTTGTCTCATCACCCCTCCAGTTTCCGTTGTGTCCCTCCCCACCTCCTGTGAAGTCACAGCACCTCACCCGCCCTCCCATCCCTGTTCTCTGCTTTCCTCGTAGCACTGGACTGCCTGGTGTAATTTGGCTTTTGCTTGATAATTTGCTCTCTTCTCCCTCTACCCTAGATTATAAATTTGACGAAGGCAGATTTTTATCCTTTTTTGTGTGTGTGGAGGGGTGGTATTAGGAATTGCACTCAGGGGCACTCAACCACTGAGCCACACCTCCAGCCCTATTTTGTATTTTATTTAGAGACAGGATCTCACTGAGTTGCTTAGCACCTCACTTTTGCTGAGGCAGGCTTTGAACTCGCAATCCTTCTGCCTCAGCCTCTGGAGCTGCTGGGACTACAGGTGGACACCCCTGCACTGGCCAGATTTTTGCCTATTTTATTTCCTGCTGAATCTCTCAACAGAAAAATGTTCCTCGCTTGGTAGTCAGAGGTATCTACTGAGGCCTAGGGATTTGGCTCAGTAGTAGAGCATATGCAAGACCCAGCACCATAAAAAAAAATAAAAATGTAAAAATTAGGTATTTACTGAATGAATGATTGAGGAAGATAGATTGGAGAAAGATGCACAATCTCCAGTAGAAAAGCTAGTTTAATGGTTGAGGCAAAAGGCGATTTATTCTTTAATTTTGATACTTGTTTCCTTGATTGGTCATTTTCTTTGTTTACAATGCATTGTTCTTTTTTTTTTTTTTTTTTTTTTTTTTTTGGAGACATAAACTCCTTAGGGTCAGGGACTCAGTTCTTATACCTATTTATTTCCCTAGCCAATGAATGTTCAAATAAATGCTGAGGAGAGGTAATTCTCATTGACTACAAGCACTCGGGTCACTTGTGTTTTTTCTACATATTTTGCCAATGTTTTGCACTGTTACTCTATTCAACATTTCAGATTGCATGTCTTCCCATTGAGTTCTCCAGCAAAGCAAGAGGTCTCTGGAATAGACAGGGTTAATCCACACAGTAGTAACTGCAGAAGCACCAAGACTCTGATTGCTTCAGAGCAGGCCCACTGGAATGACTGTCCCTTCCCCAGCACTCTAACCTTCCGCACACGCTGCTTGGCAGCCCTCACGTGTCACGGCTCTGATCGACTCTAGGGCAAGAATCATTCCATTCTAACAGATGGACATGAATTTAACCAGACAATAAACCATGTATGTGCCATAAATATGTTTGCTGAGGGCAGGATTCCCAGTGCAGAACTTTAAGAACAGCTGTCTTATCATGCGCCACTGTTTCTTGGTGAGATGATTTGCTAACCAAATTCTGAAATGGATTACATTCATGAAGTTAATTGTTCTTTGGCCCCCGACTTCCAGCAGCCTAATTATTTGCAGGGAGAGGCCCAATTTTTATAAACAAAAGTTATGAAATTAGTTTTAGACTTTATTTTTAAATTAATTTGATGTGCTTCCAAATTTAGTGTCATCAGTCTAAAAGGGCTCATTAACCTTTCCTTCATTGCCAGCAACTTGCCTTAATGCCTGAGGGAGATGCAAATCATTAATTGTAAACAGCCATTTTTTCCCCTCAATGCTATTTCCTTTTAGTACTGATATTAAATTGCTATATAAGCTACTAGAGTGGTTTTGCTGTACTGTTCCTTAAAAACGCAGTTCTACTGTCTTTCTACTTCTTTTTCTCATTATCTTCAGAGATGTTTTCATCCTCTCCACAAACATCGCTTTCCCTATGGAACCTATGCAAATTAAAATGTGGAATATTTGTTCGTTTTGCATTCTGTAGAGGGTAACTTCTATTGATGTACATTTGCGTTGGCATGATCTACCAGGCAAAGTATAAATTGCTGTAAAACTGGAAAAGTGTTTGAGGAAAGCAGATGTTCTCTTAGCATGAAGCAGATGTAAAACTTGCAAGTGTCTGTCTAATAAAGTATAGCATTTGGTTCTATACAGCTGGTGCCAAGATTACCAATTAATCATGTTTGAATGCATTTTTACTAATTAGATCCCCCTCTGTTTTTCACTGTTCTGGGTATATTACAGAGCGGGGTGGGGCACATAAGCTTTCCACTTTTAGAACTCTGAGCAGTGTTCCCCCCACCCTGGGCCTTTTATCAGGCTGGTTTTTTATTCTAGAACTATATAGGAAATTAAGCCCATAGATGTGGAGGGCTAATTGGGCCCTCCAGTTGTCATTGTAGGATGTTCCATCAAAAGGAACAGTTAGTACTTCCCTTTAAGGCAGCTGGAGAAAAGAAGAGGCCTGTAATTAACGTTGTTGGTTTGTTTGTTTTCCCCCTTATTTACGTGGACAAAAGCAATTATATGCTCAGTTAACATCAATTCACAGCCTCTGTGGTTATTTGACAAAGTAGGAATTTGAACAATCCAGAAATGGATCTTTACAGTTTGGGGTTTTTTGTCATCAAGAGCAATGGAGCAGTTTTTCTCGGAGACTGAAGATGACTGGGTCAACATCACTCCCAGGTCACCTGTGCTGCCGTGGACAACAGCACGAATCAGTAGCCACTGTGAGAACTAAGAAAGCCGTGTCATCCTCTCTGGACCCTTCTGTAAAGAAGTGTGCTGATGGAATCGAATTCCAGAACCCAGTGGACCTTTTTTCAATGTTTAATTTCTCTGAGCTAAATTGGTACAGATCCTGGTTTTTAAAACACTAGGTTAAATGAATCTGTCGTGACATAGATCAAGACTTTCTGTTTGTTGATACTTTTACATGTGCATTAGATGCACCATCTAAGAGTATTAATAGGATTATTCCAGAAAGTCTTCCTCATCCTCATAACCCAGTGTCCCCATATTTTCATGAAATTTAATTTTGTATGAAATAAATTAACTCTGATACATAAGCTTACATAGAACTAATTGTTAGAATCTCCATTTTTAGAAATGGTTTATCGTCGAAAACTTTAAATATCCACAAAGGTAAAATAGTGTATGTGCCCATGTGCCCATCCCCCAATTCCAGCAATCATCAGCCTTCTGTGGTTCTGGTTTGTCAAGATCTCAGGACAGTGTTCTTGAGACTACATTTGCAGAGTTATTTTTCTCTTTAAAGTTGTAGTTGTGTAACCTGTTTCTACAGTGATAATACACATTTAAACAAAACTAGGTCACATAAACCCAGTAGATCTGACTTTATTTCAGGAAGTGGAGCGAGAAATCTCATTCAGAACAGAATGTGGACTGTATTACTCCTACTACAAGCAAATGCTGCAGGCTCCAACCCTCATGCAAGGTAATTACAATTAACAGTTTCATTGGGAGTCGACCGCATCTTTACAAAATTTCAGTCAAAGCATCTTTTGCACTAAAGCATCTTAAATGCTTTGTAGAATTTGTGTAGTTTTACTCTGAACTTATGCAGTTTTTCCTTGTTAATTTCTAATCATTTCATGAAATTGTTTTGCTCTGGAAGAGGTTATATAATACTTTATATAATCCTCCTGGCCTTGCCTTCGGTCTCTGTTCCATCCCCAAACTAACCTCTCTGCAGTTGGTTTTTTTTTTTTAAGTTTTGTTGATTCTTTTTGTGATGATTTTGGAAGAAGTCTTTGCAGGCGAAAGGAGTATGATCTAAAAACAGTGGGTATTTTGGTTCTGAAAACTAAGTTGTCCCTCTTGTTCCCAGTGTCCCCATTCATTTCTTTATTTTGCAGTTGCCATCTTCCTATGTTCTCGCTTGACCTAAGTGGGTCAGAGCCATACTCTGTTTTTCTTCCACCTGATGGAAGCCCCCCAAAGAACCTCTTCTACTTAATATATCCTTTATCTCTAACCTGGGTATACCTGAGAGAATTGCCCTTTTCTGGGATTTGGCTGGACTCAGCTGTGATATTTTGGGTAGGAATTCTTCATGGGTAATGTTTTCTACTTTTAATTTTATCACAATAAGAAACACGAAATTTTGGTTATCTTTTTGTGCCATAAAAACAAATCACTTGTTTTCTGTTTTGATAACCAGATTCTTCCCTATCAAAGTCAATTACCCATAGCCTTTCACTTAATGGTTTGAGCAACCGTTGATGATTATTACCTATCTCCATTTTGCAAAATACAATGACTGAAAAATAATAACCTCCTACTTCTTTCATTTCTCCCTATATTTATTAGTTGGAACTCCCTTCTGTAGAAAACCTTTCTTCGTTTTCTTCATTTGTTTGGTTACCTTGAGGTTCAGTTCATATAAGAAAGACAGGCCAAGTATTGATTTCACCCCATAAGGTCAATCCTCATTTTTCACAAATTCCTTATTTCCAAAATCATCTCACTAAAATTTATCTATGATCCCAAAATCAGTATTCATGGCACTTTCACAGTCCTTCATGGACATGTCCAGAGCATCAAAAAATCTTAGTTGCCCAACATGGATGTTCTCACCAGAGACTAAAACAGGGCCAATGTTCTGCCTCTGGTTTCAGCTCTCATATTATTGTGTCCTTTTTACAGTCTCTGTTGTGTCATAGCTTTTTACATTTTTATGCTGTTTGTTGCTGATTTTGCAGTTTCACATAGCCCCCAAACAGAGTGTGAAAGTACTGTCTTGTTTTCCTAAGTGCAAGAAGGCTCAGGAAAGAAAGAGAAAACATGTGGGTTACATATGAAAATGTGTGTTAGATAAGCTTTGTGCAGGCATGAGTTACAGTGCTTGACTGTGAGTTTAAACAATATATTAAAGAAAGGGTCTTTAAACAAAACACACATAAAACAAGGTTATACACTGACCAGTCAATAGAAGTCTATAATCATCAACTTGCAAGAACCCAACCCATTATTTCCTATTAGTTCAGTATTGAATATTTCACTTTTTACTATAACTTTATAGAAAATAACTACCATGAGTAATGAGAATAGACTGTATTTACCAATTTTCAGAATTATGAGTTGCTTATCTAGCATTCTATAAAGCAATTCTTTTTATTTGGGAGGGGGGCAATTTTACACTTTGGGGGAGATCCAGAATGTCTGGAAATATTTTTGGTTGTCACAAGTGGAAGGGGTGTGCTACTAAAATCTGGTGAGCAAGAAGCTGGGGTACAGCCAAACTTCCTACAGTGCACCTAGCAGCCCCCACAACAAAGAACTGGCCCAAAATATCAGTGGTATTGAAATTGAGAAAGCATTCTCTAAGTATCACGACGAACTCATTGCTTGACCTGTTTCAATTAATTTGTTATTCATTAAAATTATTCTTTTAGAAGATTTCAAACATAAAATGGTAGAGATAATCCTGTAATGGATTTCTATATATCCTTCATTCAGCTAAAACAGTTACCAACTCATGACCAGTCTTGTTTCCTCTATATCCAAATGACCTCAACCTAGGTCATTTTGGAGTAAATCTCCAAAACATTCCTTCATCTGTAAATATATCAGTATGTTTCAGTAGTGAGTATTCTCATTTCCTTTTGCCTTAACAGACTTTTAAATTAATAGTTTGGAAATGCAAAGAATGTGTCCATTGCAATCATTTGATATCACTTTAACTGTTTCCTTAAATTTGTATCTTTTCATCTTTTTCCCTGTAATTTTTTGTTAAAAATATATATTAATTTTGTTGCATAGTTCCCCACTTTCTGAATTTTTCTGGAGCCCTATGGTGTCATTTAAATATTTCTTTGCTGAATTTCCTGTTAATTGTTAGATTGAGGTTTGCCCAGATGTTGTTCTACTATTGGGTAAGAGTACTTCCTGGATGGTGTTCTGTATTCCACATCAGAGGGTACCCAGTATCTATCTGCAGGCTAAAAATGATCTATCTATTACTAAATTCTCAGTAGAGAGGCTTCCCCCTAATTGTTTCAGCACAATTGATGATGATTATTATCTACATCCATTAATTATATATTCATTTCACACAAAATGGTGGTATTCTAATTCCATCATTCCTTCTTTCATTGCTGGACAAAATTCATCTCTAAAGAAAAATATGTTCTCAGCAACTATTCGGTGAACCAGTTTAATCCTTTCCCTTTGTTATTTTTTAAAATGAATTGCCTTCCTTTCTTTTCTTTTTTCTTTCTTTTTTTTTTTTTTTTTTTGTACTAGGAGTTGAACCCAGAGGCTCTTTACCACTGAGCCACACCTAGGGCCTATTCATTTTTTATTTATTTATTTTTGAGTCAGGGTCTCACTAAATTTCTGAGGCTGTCCTTGAACTTGTGACCCTCCTGCCTCAGCCTTCTGCACTGTGGAGATTACAGGCATCTGCCACCACACCCAGCTTAGAATGCAGCCAGTTAAGATTTTGTTTGTTTAAGAAATTTGTGGATTTTTAATAGAATATTGATGTGTTTTGATGCTCAGCCACCTTCTTGTATTCACATTGCTCAAGCTGTTGTAGTTTGGGGTGCTCTTCGGATTGCTTGCTGTCTTTTTGACATGACTACCCATGGTCTCTGACAACTCCTTGCTTTTGAGGAGCATGACAAAATATTTGAGGCCCATTTGTATATTTTCTACCCCTGATCTGGAATCAGCTCTTTCTCCAAGGAGCTCTAGTTCCTTCTGTTTAAAGACTCTAACTTTTGTGTTGGGAGCATTTATTGTTACTAGATGGGTCTTTATTTCCAGTCCTTTGTAGTGAGCAGAGCTAGGAAGTATGATTTTTTTTCCTAAGAGAAAATATGAATATAACTATTTTCAGAGCAAAGTTATGATAACAATTTTTTTTTTTATGATCCTGGGGATTAAATCCAGGGCCTTGCACATGTGAGGCAAGCACTCTACCAACTGAGCCATATCCCCAGCCTCAACAATTTGTATTTTTTAATTTCATATTTATATCTTTTCTTAAAGTGAAATTTTTGATTCCTTACAACATTAATGTTATCACTTACATGCTATATGTAAATATATAGGTATATACATACATATATATGATTTTCAAAATGACAATAATATTGCTACTAACAGTATGATTACCTGAAAACAGTTCAAGCTGTCTGTATTTTCTTCTTACCTTAGGATTGAAGCTATGTAGGGATACACAGTCACATTCCTCTGTTTTTCAAATCACCTGAAAGAATTCTGTCTGCATGACCAAACCACTAACTTTATTTGTTTTATCTTGTTTTTGTTTTTTTAGGAATTGTGTTATAAATTTTTTATTTAATATTTTTAACTTATTTTAAAAAAATATTTACAAAGTTTCAAACTCAAAGTGATAGAGAGCCTTTTGTTTGTTTGTTTGTTTGCTTTTTGGTGGTGGTGCTGGGGATGGAGCCCAGGGCTTTGTGCGTGTGAGGTGGGCACTCTGCCACTGAGCTACACTCCAACCTTAATCTTTTTTATTAGTTTTCTATTTATTCTTTTGTTAATGCTTTAAGTTACTTGAATATGTTCATATTGCTCTCTTTGTTACAGAAAATCTGCTTACTATATACACTGTCTCCTATTTTGCTTTTTCCACCTTACAAAGATCTTGAAGATCATTCTGTAGTAGAGTATAACAATGCTCCTTTGTATGAATAGACATGAATTATAAAAGTGGTCTCCTTTATTAGTCTGCTTGGGCTGCTATAACAAAGTACCATAGACTGGGTTGCTTCAGCCACAGAAATCTCCTCTCTCGGAGTTCTAGAAGTGTGGAAGTCTGGATCAGGGTGCTGGTCAGGTTCTGGTGAAGACTGTCCTCCAGACTTGCAGAAGGCAAACTCTCTGGTGACCCTTTTTTTAAGGACAATAAAACTCTCTTGTGTCCCTTTTTTTAAGGCCCTGCCCTTTGACATATGACATTTTATGTACCATAAAAATGCTACAGACTGTGTAGTTTAAACAAGTTCATTTCTCTCCATACTGGAGACAAGGTGCCATTAGGGTTGGTTTCTTTTCTTTTCTTTTTTCTTTTTTCTTTTTTTTTTTTTTTTTTAATAGTAGGAATGGAACCCAGGGGCACTGAGCCATATCTCTATCCCTTTTTAATTTGAAAGAGAATCTCACTAAGTTGCTTAGGCCTTTGCTAAATTGCTGAGGCTGGCCTTGAATTCACAATCCCCCTGCTTCAGCCTCTCTAAACATTTGGGATTACAGGTGGTTCCACCATGCCTGGCAGGGAGTAAAGCCTCTCTTCCTTGGTTTTAAAGGCCCATTCCAGTCCTTGTACTCACATTTGCCTTCCTCTATGCATGCAGGGGAAAAGTGTGTGTGAATTTGAAAGCAAGCTGTCTGTACCTCTTCCTCTAAGGACACCAACCTTTCAGACTAAGTCCCCACCCTTATGACCTCACTTGACTTTTTAAAAAATATATATTTATTTTTTAAGTGTAGATGGACACAACACAATGCCTTTATTTTTATGTGGTGCTGAGGATCGCCCGTGCTAGGCGAGCACTCTACCACTGAGCCACAATCCCAGCCCCTCACTTAACTTTGATTACATCGTATAGGCCCTCCCTTTTCAAATACATTCCACTGGGGGTTAGGGCTTCAACATATGAATTCAATGGGAACGTGGTTTCATCCCTAACACTTCCTGTCAATGGGCACTTGGGTCATTTCTGATCCTTTACTGTTAAAGACAGTTGTGCATGAATGACCTTGTGCCCATGTAATTTTGTGTTTTTGCCAGTCTGTCTTTGGAATTGATTCCTAGCTATGGGCTTCCCAGATCAAAGGACAAATACACATTATTTTGTTGTGTGTTGCAAAATTCTTCATAATCCCATTTTGCACTGCATTGCAGTGAGGGAGAGTCGACTTCCTTAAAAACCTCACTAACACAGTAGATTGTCAAAGATCTTGATTTTTGCCAAGCTGATAGGTGAGAAATGATATCTCAGTGTAGTTTTAATTTGCACTTCTTTTATTAGGAGCAAGGTTGAGCATCTTTTTCTGGACTAAAGGACGGTAGGCATGTTTTCTTCTGGGAATCATCTATTCATACCTTATGTTAGTCAGCTCGGTTTCAGTAGCAGATGACTTCAGGGTAACCATGGATTTCTATAACAATGGGTTTGTTTCTTGCTCTCATTGTGTCTGCTGAGAGGCAACAGTAGCACTGCTCTCCCCCATGTATCCTCTCAGTCCATCCTCTTTTGGAACATGCCAGGGTCTTGGTAGAGGGAAAGAGCAAGAGCTGGTGGAAACACATGTCCCCTCTTAGAGCCTCTGCTCAGACACGGCATATGTCACATCTGCTGACATGCCAGGGGACTGGGAGAGTCAAATGGCCCAGCCCATCCCAAGGAGTGCTGCATGTCACATGTAAGAAGGTGTGCAAGGTGTAAAATCCTATTGCCTGAACTTCTACAGAAAAATGTGTCTTCTTTTTTAATTGCAAAAACAAAAGTTGTTTTTTGGGGGTTTTTGTCATAAATTTTTTAATGTACTATGTTTGCATAAATGTTTACATCTTGTCTAACACATGTGAAGCTCTTTGAGGGTAGGACTGTTTTCTTGCTTACCGTTACAACCCCAATGCCCACCACATTCTCTGATACATTCTAAAGAATATGGGATAATTTTGAATGGATGAACAATTATAACTTTTTTCTCTGAATTTTCCAATATCATTCTTAGGTTTTCGTGGCTTAATTTATGATAATAAAACTGAATCTATGAGGACAATTAACCTTCTTCAACGAATGAATATTTACCAAGAAGTTTTTCTCAGTATTTTATATAGAATTCTACCCATACAGGTATGTCATATCCTGTGACATAGAGTTGTTAATATCAGGTGAAAGTCAAAATCCATCATTTTGAATTGAAAGTTTCACCTGTGTTCTTCTAATCTTCAACTGGTTTGGTAGAAAATCAACAACACCCTAATTTTTCTCCATATATACTGTGAACTTTACATTTTGTTTATAGTATTGCTGTTTATTTATATTTTGTAAGATTCTTACATATAGGTATTTCCTGGTTTATAGCATAGTTGGTAAATATTTTCATTTGGAAACAAGTAATCACTCCTGTTTTATCTTTGAGATTAAAAAAATTGTAAGATTAGCACATCACAATGACTACTTCTCCTGTGAATTAGGCAAAAATGGACAAAGTTAAGTGTAAAGTTGTCTTAAGTATGAAGGCTTAAAAGGGCCATTCTTCCCTCCTCTCCTGAAGGTGGGAAGACCAGGGCTCACACACGTCTGGATGGGAAGGGTGGTGTGGATGGGCTGCTGGGAATTAATGGCAAGCTTCCAAGTACTGAATTTCTACTGTCATATCTTTTTAAAGGGCAATAAGGTGGGTTGTGGTTTCTCTGACAAACGTTTTTTATTGCTCTCTTTTACAGAAATACTTAGAGCCGGTTTATTTTTATATTTACACTTTATTTGGACTCCAAGCAATCTACGTCACGGCTCTTTACATAACCAGCTGGCTTCTTAGTGGTACCTGGCTGTCAGGAATGCTGGCAGCTTTCTGGTATGTCACAAATAGGTGAGTTGGAATGAGTGTGTCTCTCATCCTTTCCAAAGTGAAAGTAAAATTGACGTTACTTTATTTCCAGTTCAAAGAAATTTCTTCTTCTGTACTTGGTTGGGAGCATTTTCTCTTTGGTTCATTTAGTGGTTTACTACATTTTTCTTGCTTGGTAAGATAGGAAGTCTTTTTCACCTATATTTCCAGCTGAGAAACAGAACACTGTATTGTAGAACAAGAGAAATATCTAATAATTTCAGTTTTATTACCTGTTTGCTATGTGATCAACATTTCTCCAGCCATATATCTCATCTCTCAAAAAGAGTTGTAATACTATCTTTGCCATCAGTCGTAATAGGATTGTGTCTAGTTCTCAATTTGCAAAGTATAAAGCATAAAGCACTGTACAAAACCACTGGAGCCATATGAAATAGAACTTTTAAAAAAATCAAGATATATTGAAAAGATACATTGCCTGATCTACAGGAGCAACACGAATATTCAGTAGTGAAATTATAACTTAAGCATGAGTTCTTATACAGATTTTGTTTTGTAATCTAAGCAAATTACTTTTTTGTAGCCCTATTGAGTGCTTACTATGCCAGCCACTTTAAAAGGCACTTTACATGTATTCTGTTAACAACCCTGTGGTATAGGTACTATTATTATGTCCTATTTATCTATTTATTTTTATAGTAGCAGTTGAACTCATAGGCACTTAACCACTGAGCCACATCCCCAGCCTTTTTTTGTTTGTTTTTTAATTTTTTATTTTGAGACAAGATCTCACTTAGTTGCTGAAGCTGGCTTTGAACTCACGATCCTCCTGCCTCAACCTCCGGAGCTGTTGAGATTACAGGCATGCATCACCATGCCCAACTATTATGCCCATTTTGGAGAAAGGAAATTGAGACTGAGAAGGTCACTTTATACATGCACACACAGAGTCGCGTATTGAATGCCTAGTATGTGCAGACATGGTTCTTGCTATAAAGTGTGCAAAGATGAATACTTATCTACATTTGATCTCTAGGAGTTCCCATTCTAGACAGATAAGAAGTTTTTACAAAGTGTTGCCACTGATAAACCAGATGCAGAGGCTTTACACCTGTATTCCCTGTGTCTGGGGAGGCTAAAGCAGGAAGGTCACAAATTCCAGGCCAGACTTGACAACTTAGTGAAACACCATCTCAATATAAAGGAAAAAAAAAAGGACTAGGAATGTAGCTCACTGCTAGAACGCACCTGGGTTCAATCCCTGGTACTACAAACGAAACAGAACAAAAATTATTGTCAGTGACAAATTGAAGACTCACATATAAAGCACTAAAAAAATACAGAGAGGCAGAATATACAACATTGCCTGTCAGCAATAATGCAGTTAGAGAATAAAGTAAGGAGCCATTAGGCATATACTGGATGTTAGGCACGATACTTTCGGGGGACTTTCAGTTCCACCACTTAAATACATACCTTTGGACAGGTTGCTTAAATTTTCCCAGTGCCAATTTTATGTTATGGGGATGCTGATGATTTTAGCTACTTTTAGGACAATTTTAGCTATTCAGAGTCAATTACCAGGATCTAAGTATGGTGCTTAATGTAATATATCTTTCACTTTAGAAAAGCTTTGGGAAAATTATTGTAAAAACTATCATTTTGGCCACTTGTGTTCTCTTTGTGCAGAATAGATACCACCAGAGTTGAGTTTACCATCCCACTGAGGGAGAACTGGGCACTGCCCTTCTTTGCAATTCAGATAGCAGCGATTACATATTTCCTGAGACCAAACTTGCATTCTCTTTCTGAAGTAAGTTTCTATAGAACTTTATATATTTTTAATTTCCCAATTTTATATGAGAAGCTTTGAAGAATGTGTGATGCATAGTGTCCCAATCCATGTAAATAGTTCTTATTCCATGACCAAGTTTTTAACTCGAGTTAAATTTTCTTTTTCTGAGCTTTTTCCTACTTTGCAAAGAAAATGTTTTCATTTTCTATGTTAAAAATGTACTCTACATAATCTACCCTTAAATAGTTGCAGCAAGCCCACACACACTTTCTGTGAAACTGTCAGAATTTTTAAGCCATTTGCTCTTGAGATGTGATTTGGTGCATTATCGCCTCCATAATAGTGTGGAATACACATACCGTATGTGAATATTTATATGCAGAGTGTCACTTTAGGATATTTAGAGCTTAAATAACAAATGCAAGGGTTTTCAGAGCAACAGTTTATGGTTTTTCTATTTGGTTTATAGAAGATATTGGCTGCTCTTGAGAAAACTTGTCTGCAGGGTTTTTTATTACTAGAGACATGTAAATTATACAAAGGTTTTCTTTTTACAGAGGCTGACACTTCTCGCCATTTTCATATCAACTTTTCTCTTTAGTCTGACATGGCAATTTAATCAATTTATGATGCTGATGCAAGCAGTAGTGCTGTTCATACTGGACTCCTTAGACATGCTGCCAGCTGTGAAGGTAATCTTTGCTTTCTTTCCCTGTGTGTGATTTTCATTGTTTAGTGTTTTATATCACAGGACCAGATGAAAATATGCAAGTACTTAATGACAAAGTTGAAGCTCCTTTTTACGTCTAATGTAAATATGCCAGGGTCAATTGAAGCTAAGTAATTTATGCAGCCCAGTTTGACAATCTTAACTTTTATTCTGCTTATTTTGTGTTAAAAACTAGATCTATTTGGTTCATAAATGCCTAGGTCGATTTTCATCTAGAGATATGACTTATATTTTAGAATATAAGATAGCTCTCTTAAAATTTCACCTTTTTTTTAAAGGATCCTAATGGGCATATAAGGAAGATTTTACCTGGAAACTAACAACACCTTTCTAAATAGTCTGTGGATCAAAGCATAAGGCCTCAGTGTATCAGAACTTCTGAGACATATGTCAAGCAATGCTGACAGGGAAATGTGTAGCACTAGATGCTTGCCTTGGAAAGGAGTTTCCCTTTGAAATCAGTCATCTAAGTCTCACCTTAAAGAAAAAAAAATAGGAGCAAAATAAACCCATACAAGCAGAAGTTAGAAAATAATAAAGAACAGAAAACAATGAAATTTAAAACATAAGAATACAGAATCATTGGAATAAAAAGAGCTAGTTCTTTGGGCTGGTGTTGTGACTCAGTGGTAGAGTGCTTGCCTAGCAGATGCCAGGCCCTGGGTTCGATCTTCAGAATCATATAAAATAAATAAATAAAGGTACTGTGTTCAACTACAATCAAAAAATAAATATTTTTTAAAAAGTTCTTTGAAAAGATGGGTTAAAGAACAAGCTCCCAGCAGTGCTTCATAATTGCCATGGAGCTTTAAAAAAAATCTTTTAGGGGCTGGGGATATAGCTCAGTTGGTAGAGTGCTTGCCTTGCATTCACATGGCCCTGGGTTCAATCCCCAGCACCACACAAAAAAAATAAAATAAAAATAAAAAGTCTTTTAATCTTAACAGATTTTCATAACAGAATTCTGAGTCTCTTTGGTGCTACTCATGTTCTAGCCAGTGTACACAAGTGGTTAGGAACATAAACTCTAGAGCCAATCTGCCTAGGCTCAAAGGAATCATTTGCAAGACATGTGTGAGTCATTTAGAGCAGCACCTGCCATTTTTATGAATTTTAAACAAATGTTAACTGTCATTATTATGAATGATGATGCATGATCTATTGAAGAAAATTCTAGTTATTCTACACAGGAAGAATATATTGTGGCTGCATGTCTCTATATTGCCACTACATTAAGAGAACCTGTAAAGGAACATCAGATATACCACAGATAATCCAGGACTTTAATATACATATATATTACTGTTTAACTTTACATTTCTGGCTAATAATAATGTTTCTCTTTAACCTATACTATCATTTTATTTGCAAAATTATAAGATCTTGTTATTACAAAAACTGAACCTTTTTCTAGAAGTATGCCCACTTGATATAAAAAGACCTGCCAGCATCAGAAAACATTCTCCAAATAAAAATAGTCCAAAAATTTTTTTAAGTATTTATAAATGAGTTGATATCCATAAACAATTTTCTACAAACCAATGAAAAAAGGAAAAAAATAAATAATGAGAAAAGCAAACAAAGGACACAAATACTTCCTAGAAGACACAGCATTAAAGAGAATAAAATACTTAGGAATAAATTTAACAAAGAAATATAAACTTGTACTCTAAAATTTGAAAGACTTAAATAAATTGGAAAGATAGATGTTCCGTGTTCATAGATTGATAGGCTTCCTATGAGGATGGTGGTACTCCCACTCAGAATCTCAAGTGGCCTCCCCAAATCTCCAATTTAACAGAAATTGACAAACTGATCCTAAAATTCATATGGAAATGCAAGGGACCCAGAATAGCCAAAACAATCATGAGAAAGTAAAACAAAGTTAAGGGATTCAAACTTGCTCATTTCAGACTTACTGCAAAGCTACAATAAACAAGACAGTGTGATGCTAGCAGAATAGGCATAAATCAGTGTGATAGACTGAGAGACCAGAATAAACCCTCACCAGATATAATCAATTGTTTTTCTCAATAAGGATGCCAAGATGATCAAATGGAAAAAGAATAGTCACTTCAACAAATGGTGCTAGGATAACTGAATAGCCACATGCAAAAGAATAAAGTTGGCCCCCTTCCTCTTGTTATACACATTTATACAAACTGGATCATAGACCTAAGCAGAAGAGCTACAACTATAGAAGTTTTAAAAGAAAACATAGGAACAACTCTTCATAACATTGGAGTAGTACAGATCTTCTTACATACAGCACCAAACGCACAAGGGAATTTTAAAAGTAGATTACACTTCATCAAAATTAAAAACTTGTGCTTCAGAGTGTTCCTAGAAAGTGAAAAGAAAAGACAGCCCATGGAATGAGGGAGAATATTTTTAAATGTTTTTAGTAGTGCATAATAGTTATGCATAATAGTGGGGTTCATTTTGACAAAATCATACATGCACAGAATATAATTTGCTCCATTTCAGTTCTCAGTGCTTCCTCTTTCCCATTCTCCTTCCTCTACTCTACTGGTCTTCCTTATCTTTATTTATTGTTTTTTTTTAATTGGTTCTTTATAAACACACATAAAGCTGGAATTCACTGTAGTACACACACACACACACACACACACACATGATTTTTGTCAGTTTCGTTCTGCAGTTCCTCCCTTTTCCTATCTCTGGGAGATAATATTGGTGAATTATACATCAGATGAAAGATTTCTAGAGAATATAAAAAACTCTTACATCTCTTTCAACAATAAAATATGGGTGAAGGATTTCTTCAAATAAGATATATAAGTGTCCAATAAACACATGAAAGGATGTTCTACATTATTAGCTAACAGAATTGCAAATCAGAGCCACAAGATACCACTTCATACCCACTCAGACAGCTAAAAATAAAAATAAAGAAGCAGATAATGACAAGTGTTGATGAGCATATGGAGAAATTGGAATTCTCATATGTTGCTGGTAGGAATGTAAAAGGATTCATTCACTTTAAAAAACAGCATTTCCTCAAACTTTAAACACAGAGCTACCTACCCTGTAATCCAGCATTTCCAATCCTAGGTGCATACCCAAGGAAATGAAAAGATAGATTCATTCAAGAATCTCTGTGTGTGTGTTCATAGCAGTGTGGTTCTTAGCCAAACAGGAACCACCCAAATGCTCAATCAGTTGAGTGGATAAACAAAATTAGTATATCCATACTTCAGTAATGTTGAACCAAAAAAAAAAAAAAAATGAAGTACTGATAAATGCTACAACATGAATAAAACTTGGAAGCATTTTGCTAAGTGAAAGAAACCAGTTACTAAAGACTTTATTGCATCATTCCATTTATATTTAATGTCCAGAATATGCAAATCTGCAGAGACAATACATTGTGGCTGTCAGGGCTGGGAGGGTAATGGTGGTGATGGCTAATGGGTATAGGGTTTCTTAAAATTAGACTGTGGTGGTAGTCACACAACTCTGTGAATATACCAGAAATTATGAATTGCACACAAATTATATCTTAGTAAAGCTTTTCCTTCTTTAACTAGTGTCCTAATAAAAGGTATCTATTCACTCATTTTTTAATATTTACTGAGTGACCTTGTTCTAGTGGGCATTCTTTTAGACACTGGAGAAGTAGCACCAAACTAAATAAGCAATCTAATGATCTGAGGAAGTTTTGAAGGGATATTGTGGAAACACCTAAATGATCCAGAGGCAGATAGCTTATAGCATACGGCAGAATACTGTTCAGCCATTTGCAATTTAAGTTTTCACAGAAAAGTGAAAAAGCGATGTGAGAAAATTATACTGTGTAATGTGAAATATATAAAGTGCTATATATGAAATATATGCCCACTATGAAATCAGTATTTCCATAGATAATGGTGTGAGATTTTTGTTCTTGAGCCCACCTTTCAGTGATTATTGTTTTTTTAATGTTTTCTTGAGTTTTCTCATCTACAATTGAATATTTATTTTTTATTTTTAAAATATTTACTTATTAATTTATTTGTGAACTGGGATTGATCCCTGGGGCACTTCACTGAGTTGCATCCTCCAGCTCCCACCTTCTTTTAATCTTTATTCATTTATTTTTACGCAGTGCTGAGGATCGAACCTAGTGCCTCACACTTGGGAGGCAAGCACTCCACCACTGAGCCCCAGCCCCATCCTCCAGCCCTTTTAACACTGAGACAGCTTGCTGAGTTGCTCAAGCTGGCCTTAAATTTGCAGTCCTCCAGCCTCAACCTCCCAGGTCTCTGGGATTCTACCCAGCCGCATCCATTGCCCTATGTTGCCATTAACACCAAGCAAAAGCCCTGAACAGGGACAGAGTTTACTTTCTCATGCTTGATTAGGTTTGTTTCCTTCAAGTTCAAGAGAATCTGACCATGGGGGAGATTGGATTTACTGTTGAATAAAATTGGTATTTTTCACATGCCAGTATAAGCACGGAATTTGAAAGGGAAAAGGAAAAGTAACAAAAGTTCTCCACTCTTTGTTAGGCGTGGCTTTTATCCTTTGTGTCCCATTTGTGAGTTGCTGCGTTTTGCTTACTGCGGTGTCAGCCTGTCCACCATGCTTTATTTATTACATCAGAGTTAACCTCAGTGCTTATCAAGGCCCAGCCATTGTAATGCATTACCTCCCTCAGACCTACTCAGACCCTAAACATTTCCAACATGTTGCACAGCTGATTCATGCTAGTCAGACCGCAGTACAGGAGCTGTCACCTCCAGGGCTCACGCTCTTCACACTCTCACCTGCTATGAACCAATGAGGTAAAAAGAGCAGAAAGCCTTGCTGGGGGAGTTTTCAGCTATCAGGGGATTAGGCACACACAAGAGGTAGGAAAAAAATGAACCCCGGTGTGATACAGCCCTAAAGTGCATAGTGAAGAGAACTAGGGAATAATGGAATGTGATAAAGTACTGACTGTTGGCTGTAGACAGTAACTGTAGCAGATTACAAACCAGGCAAGGTGTGCATGCCTGTAATCCCAGCCATTTGGGAGGCTGAGGCAGGATGATTGTGAGTTCAAAGCCATCCTCAACAACTTAGCAATTTAGTTCCCTTATTTAGATCATGATTCTTGAAGTGAGGTGTCTTTTCTGCATTCTTCACAACCTGAGATGCATCCAGCTAGTGAACGTGTTGCCACGTGGTAGTTCTCTTGATAAAACCTCTTTAACCATCTCATCTTCGTTGCAGGCCACATGGCTGTATGGCATACAGATAACAGGCTTACTCCTGGTCTGCGTTCTTCAGTTTTTTAATTCCATGATTCTTGGCTCATTGCTTATCAGTTTTAACCTTTCAGTATTAATTGCAAGAAAACTTCAGGTAAGATTGTTTTTGTACTTAAATTTTTAAAAATTGTGTTGTTCCCCAGATCTTATTTTCCTACAGCATACAAGGGAAAATCTATGACCCAATTCCCAGAAAAAAGCATAATGTCATTATTCGTTTTATTTTTTTTAAATGCATGTTATAGCATTTCTGTTTGAATCTTTCCAAGGTCACCTGCCATCCCTTCCTTTCGGCAATTCATATTTCTTAGAGAATTAAAACCTTAATTCAGTGATTAGCCACAGGTGCTTATTGAATACCATTGACTTAATACTGAAATTTTTTTAAAAAATAAGTTTTAAAATTGTGTGTGTATACAAACTTAAGAATGAGAAGGATCTGCTGCTTGTGTGAGTGGTGATTCATCGCAATAGTTGGAGTTGATGGACACTTTGTAATAACACTACTCTTCCCATCTTTCCATACCCTAGTATTGATTTTCTTTTTATTTTTTTTTTCTGGTACTGATTTTTAATTGAACTAAAGTTAAATCCATTTTGAAAATTTTAAGAATTCAGATAAATACCTTTAGACATATGGTCATTTTCTAAGTTACTGTGAAATCCAATTTGAAAACATTGGCCTGGGGCTGACAGTGTATCTCAGTGGTAGGGAGCTTGCTTAGCATGTGTGATGATCTCAGTTTGATCCCCAGCACCATAAAAAATGAAACATTGACCCAATCTTTTGACTTTATTATATTATTAAATTTCTTGGGCTGGGATTGTGGCTCAGCAGTAAAGTGCTGGCCTAGCATGTGTGAGGCCCTGGGTTCGATCCTCAGCACAACATATAAATAAATAAAATAAAGGTATTCTGTCCACCTCCAACTATAAACAATATATATTTTATATTTTTTTTTTAATTTATGTGAGATTCTTAAATTTATATGAAATTTAAGTGTTTAAATTTACTTGGTTTTCCTTAAAATTGTTACAAAGCCTATTTTCCTTCTCATTTGCTATAAACATTTCTATATCAAGAAACTGTTTTGCTTTCTGCTTTGGGAAGAAAAATCACTTTTGAGTGAGAATTGCTGTGGATGAATTGTTTTTTTAAAACAGTGGTTCTCGGGACTGGGGCTGTAGCTCAGTGGCAAAGTGCTCGCTAGCATGCGTGAGGCACTGGGTTCGATCCTCAGCACCACATAAAAATAAACAAATAAAATAAAGGCATTCTGTCCATCTACAACTACCAAAAAAAAAAAAAAAAAAGAAGAAGAAGAAGAAAACAGTGGTTCTCAGACAGGGGATATAACTCAGTGATAGAGTTCTTGCCTAGTATGTGCAAGGCCCTGGATTCAATCTCCAGTACCAAAAAAAAAGAACCCGTGGTTCTTGCTGAATGTGTTTGTACATGCCTGTAATCCTAGCAACTCAGGAGGCTGAAGCAAGAGGATCAGAAGTTCAAGGCCAATCTAGGAATTTTAGCAAAACCCTGTCTCAAAATTTAAAAAAGAAGGGGCTGGGATTGTGGCTCAGCGGTAGAGCACTCGCCTAGCACGTGCGAGACCCTGGGTTCGATCCTCAGCACCACATAAGAATAAATAAAATAAAGATATTATGTCCAACTACAACTAAAAAAAATAAATATTTTTTTTTAAATTAAAAAAGGAAAAAGGGGTTGGGGATGTAGCTCAGTCAGGGAGTACCCTTGGGCTCAATCCCAAGTACCACAAACAAACAAACAAAAAAACAGTAGTTCTCATCCTTTTAACCTTTCTTATAAATAAACATCATTCATATTTGAACTCTTGATATTCTTATGTTTGACTATATATATATATATATATATATATATATATATATGGGATTATATAAAAATTATTACACATCAGAGAACAGAATTTATTTTTTTCTATTTGTCTTTTGTTTAATTGGGTTATCACTGTGTGATAAGTTAATTAATGGATAAAAGATAAAAGATTTGTTCGGTCATTATATCCTAAGTATTTTCCAAGTGGCAGACCTCAATACTCTGGTTGCTAAGATTTTTAAAAAGAAAGAAAGAAAAGGAGTAGGACACATCCCTTCATCTTTTGAAGCATGCTCTCCTTTTTTTTTTTTTTTTTTTTTTTTTTTTGGTGGCATTGTGTATTGAACCCAGGAGTACTCTACCACTGAGCTACATTCCCATTTATTTATTTATTTACTTACTTATGGCATTGAACCCAGAGGTGCTTTACCACCAAGCTACATCTCTAGTCCTTTTATTTTTTATTTTGAGACAGGGTCTCACTAAGTTGCTGAGGCTAACCTTGAACTTGTGATCCTCCTGCCTCAGTCTCTCAAATCATGGAATGTACACGCGTATACCACCATGCCTGGCTATGAAGTTCATTGTTAAGGGACTCATTTACTACTAGAAAATTAAAAATATTGAGACAGTTGTAACCTCATAAAGTAGTACGTTATATTTTCCACATACATTTTCCCTACCTGTTAAATGAGCCAATGTTTTAAATCCTTAAGTAATCTCATCTTAAGTGTTTTTTGAAGTTGTATTAAAATGTAAGAATTAAAACACAACTCTTTTAATTTCCAGAAAAACCTGAAAACTGGAAGCTTCTTTAATAGGATTGGGAAACTTTTGTTACATTTATTTGTAGTTTTCTGTTTGACACTTCTTCTCAACAGCATTATTAAGGTAGGTTAAGAAATGAAACATACAATGTATTTTTAAATTTACTTATGGCATTGGAAATAATTTTTAAGCTTTTAATTTTAAAGAAATAAATTTGTCAATTTTTGCATTATAAAACATATTAGCTCCTTGAAGAATTACCAGTTTTACTTTAAACAGGCTCAGTTTTAACTTTGTCCTACTAACAAGGATGACTTTGGTTGGTTTTACTCATTCACTTCTGTTTACTCTTTGTTTGACATATTCTACCTTGAATTCCCCAATTATTAAATTTTTTAAGATTCACCCTTAAAAATTAAATATTTCTCTAAATTTACATAGTTTTCTACACTGTGTTACTAAAAACATTGACATGATTTTTATTGGATTCAGTTAGTTAATACACTAGCTTTACTATCTAATTTCTGCTAGAAAGAAGAGCTCATTTTTGGTAGTTTTCAAATACTTAACTGACATAAAATTAGTAACCCTCTGTAGCAGAATAAGTCATTTAGTAATTTAGGCATTTATTTGTTACATACCCAGAAGCTTGGCTACAATTTCTTTAAGTGCCTTAGGGGGCTGCTTCATTAAACATGCTTTTTAATGTTTTTACTGGCTTTTTCTTTTCTTTTTGAGAGTAGGCTTTGCTTCAAAATGTAACTCTTGGACCTTGAGGTCGTCATTGTATGTTCAAGCAAAGCTGCTATGATTTTATTAGATGATTTTTGCCTCTTCTAGAAGGCTGGTCTTGGGATAGGAGACTTCTGCAAAACAGGCTTCTTTTCCTCCAGGGAAGAATGGCTGTCATTGTTTTTACCCACGATCAAAGAAAAAAGTCTCTTCACTCAGCCAGCCTCAATAAATATCTCATTCCAAGTCCTCATCACTGTATTCTTCAATTCCATACAGTTCAGTATAGTCAGCCCTCTGTATCTGTGGGTTCCACAGCTGCAGGTTCTACATTCACAGACTCTGCATCCAACTGCAGGTGAAAAATATTTGGGAAAAACATTGTGTCTGTACTGTGCACTTGCAGATGTTTTTCTTGTCATTATTTCCTAAACAATATAGTTAACAGCTATTGACATAGCATTTGCATTGTATTAGTTATTACAATAATCCAGAGATGTTCTAAAGTGTACAGGATGATGTGCGCGGATTATAAGCAAATACTACACCATGCACATAAGGATTTTAGCGTTCGAGGACTTTGCTATCCATGGGGGTTCCAGCATTTCTGTAAAATTGGATGAAAGATAAGGATTCATCCACTTACCCACTTTAGACATTTATTGATAGGCTCTTGAATTAAACCAGCAGAGAGCTGCATGCCTCAATCTCTGTTTTATGACACTCCCCCCACCCAATAGTATCTCTTGAATGGTGTTTGATATTTTGCCAGCTACCTCCAGTGAGAAGAATTAGAAAAAGTCAACTGTGAAACTCCTTGTTGTTTTAACTGTACCATGGGAAAAAATTCTCTTGAGTCTTAGTTCTCGGACTGTAAGCATCTCTCCTCAGTTTTAATCTTACAGCCCTATGATATGAGTATCATGCATGCTTTCTCTTCTTTGCATTTACTGCTAAAATCCAGAAGACCAGATTTGTGGCTCATGTCTAGTGATATGTTTTATGTACTAACCTCAATTCTGGCTTCAACTTTTTTCTATCTTCATCTTTCTTTTGTTTTTATTTGTTCATCATTTGTATCTATTTTTGAAAACTATAAATTAAAAATAAAATTATGTGAATTAAATTTATAATGAATAGATGCTGAACATGGCATTTGTCTCTTCACCTCTTGAGAGTTACTGTTATCTTAAATATTGTCTTTGAGTGAATGAATTTTAGGTTGGTATCTGCTGACTAAAACCCTAAAGCCAAACAGACTAAATACCTATTTGAAGTTTTAGGCCATAATATTGTTGGTTTCTGATGTAAAAAATTAAAATGACTGTGCTTCAGCCTTCTCCCTGTCCCTGAAACAAAAAAAAAAAAAGTCATCTTTTATCTATTTTGCAAATTGAACATATGCATAAGATGTTTGAATAAAGGATTATCCTTAAAGAGAAAATGTAGGCAGAGAAGGGAGTTTGAAGTTCCTGCTTTAGAATCAGTGTGGAGAAATACTGTGCATGTTTACAAATTTCATACACACTCTTATGAAACTAGACACTGGTTATGCATATTTCTTGAGAAAATTATCACGAAACCTGCCTAAGGTACTAATAGCAATTTTTGTTTTCTCTCTCTTCAATAGAAAATTCTTAACCTGAAGTCAGATGAACACATATTTAAATTTCTAAAGGCAAAATTTGGGTTTGGAGCAACAAGGTATGATTGAATTGAAAATCTGTTTGCTATTTTATCTTAAAGCATCAGGGAATTTACAGCTAAGTCATCATTATGCCTTCAAATATTAATTGCAGACTTATTTCAAGAAGTATTATGTAGTTCCCTTACCTTGTATTGAATTTAACACTTTTCCTTCCATTTGTTCCCCAGGGATTTTGATGCAAATCTGTATCTATGTGAAGAAGCTTTTGGCCTCCTGCCCTTTAATACATTTGAAAGGCTTTCAGATACTCTGCTTTTTTATGCTTACATATTTGTTCTGTCCATCACAGTGATTGCAGCCTTAGTTGTTGCCTTTCAAAATCTCAGGTATGGAGTGTTTCAGAAACCTACCTATGATTTAATGAACTTGTCCTGGGTTTATAGAAAATTTGCTTAAGTTGAAAATCAATATATTAGACATAGAACAAAACAGTATTGTTATCCTAAATAGAGAACATGTCTAGTTTAGAATGGATTCTACTCTCAGGGGTGAAACGACACCAGAGTAGTGGACATGGCAAACAGGTCTGAGTTTAAGTCTCAACTGCACACTAGAGAATGATGTGATCTTTGAGGCAGTTACATAATCTATTAGTATCTCCTTTCCTTGTCTGTAGAATGAGAATACAGAGAGTACTTATTCCACACAACTTTATGAGGAATAAGTAAGTTAAAACAACATAAAGTACTTAAAAATAGCATCTCACACTAGAATATGTTGTAGGTGTAAGCTGTCATTTGCTAGTATTATTATTGGTGATTCATAAGTCTCTGTTTCCATTATTGGTTTTCTGGGTTTTTTTCTATTTTTTCTACCTCCTTCTCGTGAAATGTCAGAAGTTAATTATTATTCATTTGTTTTCTTACATCTTATTTCAGGGCTTACAAAGTCATCTATTTTAGGACTTTATTAGAAGATAAGACTTTATTCAGACATCTTATACTTTTCAATATGCAAAATAAATATAAGATGACTTTTTGGTGTCAGGGGGAGGGAGAAGGCTGAAGCACAGTGATTACAATTTTTTATGTCAGAAACCAACAATGTAATGGTCTGAAGCTGAGTTGGTATATGATTATCTAAAGTATATGACTATAGATAAGTTTTAAGTAATTATTGCCAGTTTTTAAAAACTTACAGCATGTCCACCAATCCATTGAAAGAGAAAGGGAGTTTTAAAGCCTTTTAAAAAACTTGTAGAATTCCTATCTATCAAGCCTATGGGGTCTTTGCATTTATTATCCACGTTAAAATTGAAAGAAAATTAAGTGTAAGAAATTGAAGCTACTGTCATTTGTGAAAACTTAATGAAGCTCCCAAGAAATTCCTTTCTATTTGTAGTTACCTGGCCAATTAAGTTGCTGGTGAGCTGTGATTCACAGCCACAAGAGAGTTGTTGCTGAAGCAAGTCCAGATCAGTTGAGGTGTTTTATGATTATTAAGAATGAAGCAACATTGAACCATGAAAATATTTCATTGACTATTAAACTATTTTAGTATCTTTCAGAAGTGTTCTTTTTTAATGCCTAACCCAAGGTAAAATTTAGCCCTGGACTGTATAATTTAATATTATTCCAGACATGCCAAGTGTTGACAGGACTCTAGACCACATCTAAAGCAGGAAGTTCAGTTGGGCTGCGCTCTGTGAGCATGTCTGCCATGCTCAGGGTGCTCCTAGCAGCCATCTCTGGAGGCTGAATTGGAATATGACTATAGATAAAGATTTTCAAGCATCCTCTTCTACAAGGTAGGGATTTTAGAAAGATTATTAGAAGGAAAGCACTACTAGACTAAGAAATGATAGTATCTTAATGAATTAAGTTAATGAATTAACTTTCAAGTATTTAAAGGATATTTTTTTCAAGACCAAATATTTTTGCTTTTATACTACTAAGACAATACCATGATGTTGACATAACATGTCTGCAGTGGTAGGAAGGATAAAACTGAAAGGGACACCATGTTCTGTGTTCATGGGCTTCATCAGAGCCTTCCAACATGGCAAGGGTACAGAGAAGGAGTTGCAAATTCTCTCATGTGTCAAAGGAATTTACCAACATATATTCTCCTGGAGTAATCTTTAAGTACATAGAAGCCAATGTTTGGATTATCATTTTAAGTAATTATTATCAATGGTAAAAGCTGCCATAGAGTATCATTTTAATATCCCTATGAATCTGTGGTGGTCAAAAGAGGATTTCTAAGAAATAAAAGAGTCTCTGGTTACCTAGAAAAGCAATATATGTATCCAGTTCTGTTGAATTTATATGAAGGATCAGTAGGGCCCTTATAAAAGTATTGATTTTATCTGAACCTGGAAACCCTTGCTATTGTATTCTTTTCCCCTCTGAAACAAATTGTGCAACATCTGAATTCACTCCCCAGTCTTAACCTCACTAGAGTAGAGACAGCCAGATAGCACATGCTTCCCAGTATGATGCTAGAGTAGATGTTATCTGTGGGAAGTGTTCTTAGAGGGGGAGAATGGTGAACTTGGCCTCTAGATCTAATTCTATTTTTACAAGAAACATGGGAATAGAGAGAGGTAGTAACTACCACCATAAGGAGACAGCCAGATCCAGAAGGTGGGTGGAGGTACTGTACAAAGGCTCCATTTTCTTTAAATATGTATCCCTTTAAAAAAGAAAGAAAGAAAGAAAAAAAGAGATCCTTTTATAGATCAAAAGATATTTGAAGAGATACATCAAGAAATGCAACATGCAAGCTTTAGAGTCTGATCCAAAGGAATTATCTGAAAAAAAGCAATTGCTGCAAACAGGGAAAGTAGAATACACCCTGAGTAGTCAGATGATATTAAAGAGCTAGTGTTCATTACACTGGGGTTTCATCTTAATGTAACTATTTGATAAAAGTTATCTGTTGAACATACAATGAAGTATTGGTAGGTAAAAAATGTGATCACTTGTTCACAAAGAATTGAATTCCAAGTTACAGATACATTTGACTTTTGCTTCTTTATAAAAATGTGCAAAATGCCAATGATAACATAAAACATCTTTCAAGATCTCCTCCCATCTCAGTGATTCCAGCAGGACTTATTTTTTGATATTTCTCTTAAAGAATTGAAGTACTTTAAATTTTTACTTAATTTAAAATCTGCCATGAAATTTTAGTTATTCTAACTACTATCCATTTACATTGTGACACTTTTGGCTTCAAAGTAAAATTTGATCAATGCTAGTTCATTTCATCTTAGGGGAAATAATAAGATGTAACTAAATTAAAAGTATGGATCTAGCTTTAAATTTGTACGTTTGCTATTTTGTTCAGTGATGCTGCAAATCAACAATCCCTGGGTAAAATGGGAAAATGCACAGTTGACCTGAAACCAGAAACTGCCTACAACTTAATACACACCATTCTGTTTGGATTCTTAGCATTGAGTACCATGAGGTATTTTTGTTTTATCCAATCTATTTGATTTGTTTTTTAATTCATCTGTTCTTTGTGGGTGGAGGGTGTTACTGGGAATTTAACCAGGGGTGCTTTACTACTGAGTCACATCCCCAGCCTTTTTTATTTTGGATTTTGAAACAGGATCTTACTGTGTTGCTTAGGGCCTCACTAAGTTACTGAGGCTGGCCTCAAGGCTATCCTCCTGTCTTAGCCTTCCAAGATGCTAGGATTACAGGCGTGTGCTACTGTGCCCAGCTTCATCCATTCTTAACTTAATGTTACTTAGCAATATAATTTGGAAATTAGTAGTCATTTCATTATCATTCATTTGATTATCATTCCCATAAAATTGTCCTCATGTATACCTTACTACAAAATATCATTCATAATCAGTTTTTTCTTAATTGGAAATATGTTTTACTCGTGGGATAGTTCCCAGAGGCAGTAGAACTAACCCATGGCAAATGGTTTCTGCATAGCTTTAAGTAAGATGTTCCTGTCACTGACTGTGCAGCTGCCCTTGCAGCTGTCTCCAACCCAGGTGCATACCTGCTGGGAACTGCTGACCTCCTCTGTTCCTGTCCTTTCAGGATGAAGTACCTCTGGACATCTCACATGTGTGTGTTCGCGTCATTTGGCTTATGCAGCCCTGAGATTTGGGAGTTGCTTCTGAAGTTGGTCCATCTTTATAACCCAAAGAGGGTCAGTGTTTTCCATTTAATTTTTAATGATTTTTAGTATTTCCTTCATTCCTGTTCTTGGTTTTTCTTCAGTAGTTGCCCATATGTTACTCATGTAAAATGGATACTAAAATTTGAAACTAAAAATAATTGATATTGTAAGAATTTTAAAGGAATTATTTTTTAAGTAACTTGTTAATTTTAATTTTGTTTTTAAAAATCATTAACTTTTCCCCAAAACTATAAGGTAAATATGTTTATTATATAGAAATTGAAGAATTTAAAAATATACACAAAGGGGCAATTAAAATCATCAATAGTCCTCTTATCCAGAATTATAACTTATTATTATAAGGTATTTTCCTCAAAATAATTATTAACAAATGTATTACAATATTTAATAACCTGAAAATGCAGTTTTGAATTGTTCTGCCCTCTCAGTTCACTAGGTGGCAATATGGTAGAAGCTACAACTATCTTTATGAATGATTAAACCCTTAAATTGACTCAGTTTTGCATACAGGAGACTCATGCACCATTATATTATGTTTTTGTTATTTCAAAAGAAGCACATACTTAAAAAGCAAAGCCATAAGGCAAAAGTATTCAAAATGCTTGTAATCTAAATAGTGTCTTTCTTATGTAGATATGTATAATGCGATATTCAGTACCAATATTAATACTGCTGTATCTGTGCTACAAGGTAAGACCAATTTTCCTCATTCTTGTCATTAATTTATTTAGCATAAAATTTGCTTTGACTCAATGTATTTTTGTGTTATTTGGCAAATAAAGTGGTCATTGGAGTTTATAAACAATCTCCTTAGTTTTTTATTGCAGTTAGCATTGATGGGAAAACTGATGAGTTTCCCAGATAGTTCTTACTAAGTAAAAATATCATAGCAGAAACTATTAGCACTGGCATTCTAATCTTGATTTTGACTGTTACTGATGCAAATTCTGAAAATAAGACGTTTTCAGACCTATTATGAAATGAATGAAATAGAAAAATTATTTTTTCCTGTTAGCCAATTCATATAGCATAAGAGATTTTAAAATCTTATTTTTATCTATTTTAAAATATTTTGTTGGGTTCTAAACTTCGTAAGAGAACTGAAGTCTTAAAATAAATACAGTGTGAGATTAGGCTTTTTAAAAATTTGTTTTCTGTTTTCAATAGGAAGTAGCAAAATTTTTCATATGCTCAGTTGACTAAATTCTGAAACAGTATGAACTGTGCTTCAGATCTGAGAATCCAGTCAGAGGCAAGGATCCTTGATCAGTTTGACTACTTTGGATTCTTTTGTACATCCTTGAGCTTATAGGCTTTGAAGTATCACCAGGGCAAGTAGCACAGATTATTTTATCCAATTGAACTCCTGCCTTCTCTTTAAAGAAAAAGATACATATTTTTAAAGATTAGATTGTTTATCAGTTTTTGTTTTAAGTTAGAACAATGGCTTTATCACTCTACTGTCATGAAGGCCCTGATTTGGGAGGGTGGTTACATTTGGAGATGGGATCCTCCCCAGAGAGGATCACATATAGAAGCTGCTCAGCTTTTGATTGCTTGATTGCTTCTATTTTCATGTCAGATATTGTGAACCAAAGGTTGTAGGCTAAAAATAAATATATTTGATAATCATTGTATTATAAGTATTTTTTTAGTTATGTTCTGTCATTTTCCTATCTATCAGAACATGGACTGTTATAAACAGAGATCTGTGCCAACTGCTAGATGTTGCAAAACATAGAAATAAATTTCTGCCTTCTTGCCTCTGGGAATTTTATTGCTCTGATGTAAATAAGTGAAACTTCTTTAAAATATCTGGAAAGCAACAGCTATGTGTTAAACAGTATATGTTTAATGAGGAGTCAGGTAATGTAATCTTACACATTGACCTTGAAACTAAAACTCCCTCCTCCTAGAAAAAATCTAGCTCCTCGTCATTCTCATCTCACCTCTGGAGGTGGGTGTGAGCTGCGACTGTCTTGGCCATCAGCTGGAGACACATAGGCTGAGTTCTTTTATGTCTCAGCTACTTAGTGATATTTTATAGATTTTTTTATCAAAAAAACTATTTGAGGACTTTGGTCTCTTGATTTGATACAGTTGAGGAAGGACATGGTAGAAGAAAGAAATTGTGCTGTAGAACCTTGGCGTAGTTCTCAGACAAGCAGCACCAGCAGCATCTGGGAACTCTTGGAAATACAGGTGCTTGGGTCACACTCCAGACCTACTGAGTCAGAAGCTCTGCAAGGAGAGTCCAGCAATTGACGTTCTAGCCCTGCAAATGCTGCACGTTTATGAAACCCTGCTGTAGTGTGGTCAGGGTTCTCAACAGTGCACTGTTGACTTTCTGGCAGGATAATTCTGTCATAGGGGGCTCTACTGAGCCTAATAGGATAGTGTGGCACATCCTGCCTTCCACTCAGTGGATGCCAGTAGCACACCCTCCCCACATCCCTACCCCCTTACATTTCTAGGCCTCCCAAGGTGGGAGTGAGCATCAGAATCCCTCTCCTCACTCCTCTTATGAACCCTTGCTAATGAAGAATCAGGGAGAGCACTAGGAAAGCCATTCTCCCCAGGAAATCCATGTACTTCTCCCGGAGTTAAAGGGTTGGTATTGGAGAGAACCCTCCAGAAGCCTGTCAGCCAAGTATCTCTGGGAATAGGCCTTCAGGAGAAATCCCACCACATCCAGTTTTCACTGCATAAAATAGTTGAGATAGTTCTCAAAATTTATGAAATACAGAGTCAGAGAAAAAAAGATGCTATGCATATTAGGAGTTACCCTGAAGCAATCTATTTTCCATCTATTCCATCTATTACAGACTTACATGTAATACAGATTCATGTCTGCCAAAGCCTGAGTCAAGTGTTACCTGACAATTATGATGAGGATTTCAAAATTTGTTTGTAGTACCAATATTACTTGCTCTCTCTTTAGGATAATTTTATTAAAAGAGAAAAGTATGTGCTAGTCTCTACTCTGAAGGCTGAATTAATAAAAGCTACTTGGTTTTGATTATTAATTTGATTTGTGGAATCCCAAATAAACTATTGCCATTTATTTTAAAATAGCCTTTAATTATTTAAAAACAGCACTCACCTTCATATTTAAGAAGTTTTCCACAAGACTCTTAGAAGCTTTTAACATTTTTAGCATTGATAACAGCAACTGTAAAACTACAAAAATATCAAATGGCCATTGAATTCACATAGTAAAAGAATTAGAACATTTCATTTAAAAGTCTAGTGTTCTGATTTCCAAATTAATAGGGAAAATAGTTACAGTATTACAAAATGATCATTTGAACAGTAATTTTTACTACTTGCCTTCCAAAAACTAGCACCAGAAGCGCTGACACCTGGTTTTCCATCCCTAGCACTTTTCCTGATTCACTCACCCAGGAGACACCATGTGAATGAACAGTAAAAAGTGGCCAAAGATGAGATGACAGGATAACAAAGTAACAGGCTAAACACAGCCTAGACCAGTCAGGTGCTGCTTTGTTTCTACTTGGTGGATCTTAAAATTATCACATTTTCAGTATCATGGAAGCATAAATATATTGTCATTGGTCTTCTCTGCCAATACATGAAATGAATTCTGCAGTTAACCTTAGGATGTGCATAGATGATCAAATCTTTTTAGTCAACTATCATTTGATAAAGCAATTAAGATTTAATTAAATGATTAAATAAACAGACTGTTGTTATTAGATGAGCAGTGGATTCAGAGTCTAATTTTTATATTGTATCTATATAACTTGAAGTCTTGGGTTGACCAAGAGGCACTGGTGGCATAAATAAGGTAGTCAAATACATCAGAATTTCCTAGAGGGTCCTGTTTTTAAATATTCTTTTCCATTGCACTAGTGATTCTATTAATGTATGTCAAATCATTTGACCATATTTTTAGCACCAAAAATATAATTACAATATTATACAATGACAAGAGGTTCTAGATTGGGGGCAACTTCCAAACTGTGGCTCTGCCACTTGTGACCTGGTCAAGTCAGGTATCTCTCTGAGCCAGTTTCTAGACTTGTAATGGCTATGCTTCCTGCTGAATCATCTGTCTCATGGGTTATCATGAGGACAGAAACRAGATTCTGCATTTAAATACATGTTTACAGCTGTAATGTGGTGCTGTCTCCTGTGGACACATTCAACTCTTAAGTGTAGTTTGCAAGATATTAGTTAATTACATTTTTGTAATACACTGTGAACTTTTTCATGGTTGATATTCTTGTCGTAGCAAAGTACTGTTTCACTAGATATTAGCACCACCTACAATAGCATTTCTCCTAGGGTAAAATGAAAGCTCATTTTAAAAATTTGACAACATATCTGGTCCTGAATGGCCTCATCGCAGGAGAATTTTGTAAACTTTCCTTGGACCTCAGCACCCTGGTGTTGGGAGGGTTGGCTGCAGAGAAGACGCAGTTCTGTGTCACAGCCTCCATGTCTACTTAGTCCACAAGCCATATACAGTTTCTCTTTTTTTCCATTCAATCTTAGTGATAGTTGTGGGTATGGGGGTGGATTTTGTTTTTGTTTTGTTTTGTTTTTAATTTCAGTTCTGGCCAGGAATGATGGATGAGCTCTCCGAGTTGAGAGAATTCTATGACCCAGATACAGTGGAGCTGATGAACTGGATTAAGTAAGAGGAGTTTTTTTAACCTTTAAAATTTCAACTTTTTTAGAGTCACTGTGCATCTCATTTACTTTGGGGGAAGGGGTGGAGGTTTTGTTTTGTTTTGTTTTGTTTGTTTTTTCTTAATCTAATTGTGAGGAAACATTCATTTTTATTAATTTTTTTTTCTTTAAAACTCTGTATCTGGAAATAACTATTTCCATTCAAGGAATATTCTCTCCAACAGGATCAGAAAACAAATTTCTTTCAAACACTGACAGAAATCAGAGTAAAATTTTTACTTATGTTAAAACTTAAGAGTTTTCTACTCTTGCCAATTTTGCCTTTATTGTTTCACTTTAATACCATTCAATTTCTGGTAATGGTGATGCTTGAAAGTATTCTTTCCTTGTTAATTATTTTAAAGTTATAGTATAAACTACCATTCATTAGAATCATAATAGCTCATTTCAGATTTCATTTTCACTGATCCATGAGCCTCAGGAGAATTTTAAATATAAAACAGGGGCTCTTCCTCTCTTGAAGATAAAATACTTTAGCATTATATTGTTTCTTATTTTTACTGCATTTGGTTGGTTTGCCTCAGCCTTGAGCCTCAGCATGAAATCCATGTATTTCAAAGCTTTGTTCATGAAACCTGACTCCCACAAGCAAAAATAAACTTTTCTACCCTGACCTGCATTTCTGTACACTGTAATACTGTATCTCTCTACTTTATAACCAAAAAGCAGCAGTGTGATTACTCACAGGTAAATAGACATTGCAAATCTTGTGTGACATATTCTGAAGGCATTGGCCCTGTTGTCTCCATCACTTTGGATTTTAGTAGCCGTATTGGCACTTGCTCATGACTAATGTTTACTAACCAGTACAGTTTAGTGCTGTTTGTGTATTAAGAGATGGTAAATGTTTGATAGCTTAGGTCTCTTGAGTGCAATGCATGGATTTTATAGAGATTTATGTCTAAAATATATATGTGGCTTTGGTCCCAGTGTAGGACCGGGTTTGTCTAGATGCAATGAGTGTAATTTTTCACATATTTCTAGTGCTGAGAGTGGTACTCGGTGCTGGGTCTTTATTTATTTATTTAATTTTAAATCATGGCAGACAATTATAGAGTAAATAATTCCTTCAGTATTTATTGTATGTGAGGAAGAAAGATTATTCCATATAAAAGAAAGCTAATTACTTTTGCATTAACTGTAGTCAACTGGGAATTTACGATACATGCATCTGAAGGTGAGACTGATATTTTATATTTTTAAGATTATACCTTTGGAATTAATGCTACAGGGCATCCACTTGTGGTAGCATCCTGAAGATGGTGGAGCTTACAGATCTGCCTGGATTAGCATCATAAGCTTCCCTACTTGCATTTCCCAATTCAGAAATTATAAAATTACGGAATCATTAAAAATGTATTCTAGCAGAGCCACAGTTTGTCTTTGGCTGTCTCAAACTGGATGTGCTTATTTGTTGTACCTTTATTTTTATGTTTTTTCTCCAGGAAAATCAAAATAACATTCCTGGCTCTGAAAAATTGTGGGTGTGAAATTATTCAGGTGTGAAGGTGGCAGCCCTTAATCTATTATTCCTCCCTGTTGGGGGCGTGATCTTTGCACCTGAGATTCTCCTTGGCCCAGCAGCTCCTCTCCCTGAGTAGTGAGTGCCCTGGTAGACAGACCCCTTTGACTGTCTTTTGGTTGGTTGGTGTTTTCTTTCTCTAAAACTGAAAGATTTAGATTGTTCTAAAAAATTTGGCTCCATTGTCATCTAATCTTGCCCGTTTTCCCCTAAAATTCTTCAAATCTAAATTATCATTTTTGTAAAAATAGCTGCTAGGCATGTTTGTAAAACAAGCTTAAGTGATGATGAATGTATGCCAAAATAGGGTCTATTTAGACACAAAATATGTTTGTTTAAATCAACATTCAAATCAGCTCTTGTCCGTAGGCTTGCTTTCCAAACACAAGGGAATGTATTTAATATTCTTTTAACCTCTCTGGTTTATTCTATCTTTGAAACATAAAATATGATCTTCAACTTAACTTTACTAATTTGATGGACACACTGCGTCCATGTTATTTGCTGTGGCCAGGCGCAGTGGCACATGCCTGTGATCCCCATGGCTAGGGGGTGGGCGTGAGGTAGGAGGATCACTAGTTCAAAGCCAACCTCAGCAACTTAGCAAGGCCCTAAACAACTTAATGAGATCCTGTCCCAAAAATAAAAATGAAAAAGGGATGTGGCTCAGTGGTTAAGTGCCCCTGGATTCAACTCCTGGTACAAAAAAAAAAAAAAAAAAAAAAAGTCTGAACTGCACTAAAGGAAGGGCAGCAATCCAAGGATGCACAGTGTGGGTCTAAAAGCAGCTCCAGACACCTGGGGGGACCCAGACCTGTCGGCAAGGGATGCCTCAGTCCTCACCATCCTGTCTTCTCTGTCTTAAGCCAAAGTTTGCACACTCAGATGTCAGTCCTTTGTCAGGGCAGCCATGATGGCATCTCTCCGGGCCAGCATTACAGGAGGCCTCCGGATGACTGCCTCAGAGTGACCTACAGAATTTCTAAGGGATACCTCAAGTGACCCCCCCCTCCCATTTTGGCACAGGGTGATTCTTGGGGAGTATTGAGAAGAAACTTACCATCTCCCAGGCTTTGTACCTTGTAAACCACACACCATGTCAGGCTTCTCTGTTGTGCTCCAAGGCCACTGAGCTGTGGTTCAAGGCATGGACTCTTGGGGGCTTCTCTGCTGCAGAGGTAGATTGAAAAATGCCGTAGCTTCAGCTGCAGCCCAGGTAGTTATTTTCTTTTCCTTTTGAGGTTATAACCTTTTAGAGGTAAAGAGAGAAACTCAAGGGAAAACAAAGTATGTTACTTTAGGATCTCACTTATGAGAGGGGCCATACAAACAGGACTGGATTTCTGTGAAAGTCTTGAAGGCCTTGTAGTGTTTTCACGGTTTTACAGTCACTCAATTATTAACACAATCCAACAGATACTTATTGAGCACCAAAGGTGTACATACAGGACATTATATTGAAGGTGTAAACATTGAGAGGCCATCCACTCTAACTGCCTCTTCGCTGCAGTAAGCAATAAACTTTCTCTCAACATTATCTCTTTGTTCTTCTCTTCCACTCTCCACTCCATTTTATGATTTTTCAAGGCTTAACAGGTTTAGTGGGAAAATGTTTTTAGAGTCCCAGTTTTTGTCAGAGGAAATGTTGTTTTATGCTTTCCTGTCCAGTTCTCTAAAGGAGTGGAGATTTAGGTTTAAAACCAAAAATATTTCTGTATTAAATTTCTGTTTTACAAGAATACTGTAAATTCTTAGAAATTTTTTCATTGGTGCAGAATAATTATACAAAATAGTGGGTTCACTGTGGTGTTTCAATTAAAGTCATTTTAATCCTTAAGCTTTTGATGGGAGTGGGCCCCCAGGTACAATAACTCACTTTCCCTGTAGTCACCTGGCTGGCTCACACCCAAGCACAGGGAAATGCAGATGTTCATATTTGCCCTCCTTGCTGGTAAATGCAGATGTTCATATTTGCCCCCATTGCTGGTAATGTTTCTGGGGACAAAAGTAAGATACCTGGATTTTTTTGCCTTCTCCAGTATCTCAGCAAAAACCAGGTGGCACTCAGCAGGACCAAATGCATAACAGCCTGGTGCATGCCACATTCCTTGTGTCCTGAGAGTCTCATTTTTGGTTCCTGAAAGTTTTCTTTGATGTAGTGAATTAATATAGAGAGATCTGAATATTTTGATGTATGTCATTTTGACTTCTTGGCTTTAGAAGATTTTCACTAGAAATACTCTGTTTCCATAATGAATCCTGTATGCACAGTATTTTCTCAATGGGACTGAAAAAATGCAGAAATTTAATCAAAGTATTTAATCAAAGTAGAAAGAATTACTGAATATTTTAAAGATGAGGTGGGCTAAGTCCAGAATTTAAGTGCCTATAAACCTCCTTGATGTTCAATGAATCATTTTTGGTATTTGCATAATTCTATAAATTTTTGAAGTGTAGATAAAGCAAACGTTCACACGTGATATTATAATGCTCAGTTTACCCATTAGTTCAACAGTAATTAACTTGTTGAAGCCTAGAGCTTCAAAAATAAATGAGATTATTTGTTCAAAATGCCATCAGGTCTTCCTAGAATGACATTTAAATTATATAATGTAAATCCATTTGACCTGTGAGTCCTTGTCATTATTTAGTGACATTTCTTACAGAATAAATTGTTTGCAGGTTGGGCAGCCTGCTATGGAGCTTGGCAGAGAGCTATAAAAACAAATTATCCTTTCATTTTATACATCATTTGTTCAAACATTTGTAAAAATTGCTTTGTTTTTCTATAATAGAGAAGTGTCATTCAATGGTTAAAAGCACATTAGCTATTTTAGATACAGACCACAGACTGTATCAGGTGCAAGTGTCTGTAAAGGGAGAATGCCTATCTTCAGATCTGTCATTGTGCATATTTTAAGTTAAGGACAAAGAATCCATTCTCCCTTTGCCTGTGGATTTCACCACAAAAAAATATAAAATGCAACAAATGTAGACTTTTTTTAAAGTTTAGAAAATGTGTGATTATTCTTTGTCTTTTTTACTGTGCTTGTTGCTTTGACTTTTGCAGTTGCTTTACCAGTAAAGTTAAATATTTAAAGTAGCAGTGAAATAACCCAGATTTACCATGAGCCCAGCACATAAAACCAGATCAAACCGAATACAGTGAATAAACGTCATCTCTGCTATCCTCGGACGTCAATAGTTTTCAAACAAGCATTATTTCTAATTCATTTTCTAGGCCTTAGAGTATTTCATTTTTACTATTTTAAAATAAAACCAAGGGCTGCAGTAAAAGTGTATGTTAACAACCCAGAGATTGCTGCACTAGCCGTTTTAAACAGATAGCATTTCTTTTAGACTTTTGAACTTTTTGCTATTAAGACCAAACATTTAAGACATACTACAATCTAATGTGTTTTCCGTTGTTTTCTCAATTCCTCTATGCAGTTATGGCAGCTCCTTACTCTGCCTGCTGATGGTCTGCTGCTGCCTCAGGGGCTGCACCTGCTAGGGGCTCAGGGGAGGGGATTGCTCAGGTGCAGGTAGGGCATACTGAAGAGATCCTGTTTAATGTCTGATGTGTTCAGACCCCAGCAGAGTTGAAAGCTCCCAGTAAGCATTAGTATGTAAGCAGTAGACTAATTTCTGGTGTATTTTGAAACATTTGCTGTAGTGGGAGCTGCGCCTGACTCTCTTAACCAGCTTTTCAAAGACAGGTTGTCAGCTGAGCACATAGTGGGCCCTCAGTAATATGTTTTGAATGAATAGAGAATAAGCACACAGTTCAGGACTTCTGACACTCAAACATTTGTGAACTCTGTCCTTCATCAGGAGTTATGATTATGGTTCAGGAAGCAGGCTGAAACCTTGGTCATTAACTGTGAATAGATAAGAGGGTCCGTCATCTGTCTCTGCCATAATTAGAAAATGCACACTATGCATCTTCTTAGTACTGATTCCTGTTATATATTCCAAATGGTAATGCCCAGACAGGCTAATGATTTGAATAGAGGTTGGAAGTTCAGCTGTTGGATGTGTCTTTTGTATGGAAACACCAGCCTGGCATCTTGAGACAGTGAAACTGTAGAAGCCAGAACTGTTTGCCTATTAGCTCTCACCTCTGCCTTCTGCTCTGCCAGACATAGAAACCAGGCTCATTTTCTTCTTACATTCTTAATCTGTCCAGTTCAAGGACCATCCACTTTTTGGCATTAATACATGATGTTGATTTATTGCAGCAGAATGGCTTATGCCAGTTGAGAGTTTTCAAAAGGAAAGAATGGCTTGGAAATGGCTTGGAAAAATGATGGCTCTTTTTTAAATTCATATTTGTTCATATTTATCCTCTTTAGCAATTATGATACACTGTAAATGAGAGTGACGTTGTAGATAAGGCCCAGAATAAGTATTTAGTAGGTATTGAGTTAAATGGAATTTCTGTAAGAGCTTTCACAAGCACTGTGTACCTTCTCATGTTTTTATTTAAACCACCCTATTACTCTAACCTCGTGGGACAAGTGTCAAAGACTCCCTGTAAATTGTTGTGAGGGGGGACAGAGCATAGATCTATTTGTTCTTGTGTTCCTGGGTCTCATTGTCAGAATGATGACAACCTATCAAATACAGCCAAGCTCACGCACAACTTTTTTCTGTTGGAATCCACATTCTAGACTCTGGCATGGGTGAGGGAAAATGCAGATTATCTGTCATTCCTTGTGTGCTCATTGTAATTCCATCTACTTCTTTTCCTCACTTAAGAAGGCTTATTGGAATGCAAGTGAAAGAGAGTGTCATAGAGAGAAAATCTTGAATTTTTCAAAAAGTAAATTATTTGTATATGTCATCATTTGAATAGTAGGATGTCTTCCTCATAGACATCCAAAGGCCTTTGTTGGATGACATTCATGCAGTAGTTTTAGCATTAATTTGGAATAAATAGAACATCCTGGTGGGATATATGAATATGATGAGGCGTCTCTTAGAAACCTCAGCAGCAGAGCAAGTTTCATGCTTTGCTCACCAAAACCTGAGAGCAGACTCTCCTATTGCTTTTTCTGCAGAGGTGGTTCAGTTTGAATGGCTTCAGATAGACTCCTCAAAACTCTATCGTGTTAGCTCAGTTCAGCAGACATAGACTCCTTATGTTAACATAAGACAGATAAACATACCTTGCAATATTCCTAGTGGGCTTCTATGGGAAATTCCGCACTAGAGAGAATGCCTAGAAGAGCTTTTGTGTTTTTCACGGTGAAAAACAACACTACTTCATTGGTTTGCAGGTTTCCAAAAAATAGAAGGAAATTAAATGGTCTGTACTAAGATTATTTTTTTCCTGGGTAGCAGGAGAGGAAAAATGCTTTCACTGTGTTTTGGGAATCTTTCCTTGATCCTCCATCATTGGCCCTCAACCCCACTACCCTAAGGGAGGTAAAGAATCATAGCTTGGTGGTAATTGGAAAGCGAGATTGTGATATAATATAAGGTCTCCTAAATCCATATAGTTTTAATCAGAACTAAAAGAAAAGGAATGATTCCACATCAGGAATTGTGTACATCCCCATACTGATTGGTAAAATATTTGCTATTTCAGAATCTTCTTTCCATGTTTTCCTTTTAATTATTTTTTTTTCTTTTAAAGTAATTCATAATGATATCTCAGATCTTCTGGCTTTCTAGTTTGTTTATTTTAGGCAGCCCATTAGTGACATTTAATATAAAAAACAATGGCAATCTTCTGAGTTCTTTTTGTTAGAATCTGCCTCCTTGGTACAGGAGCAGAAGAGAAGAGAACTATGGATTTTAGCCCAGAAACCTCAGACTCAGGAGATATCTGCCTTCCTCCTGAGACAATTCATCATAAAAATAAACCCATCAAAGCAGAAAGTCAGACGCTTCTTGACCATTGTTCTAGTGAACAGTCAAGAACGGATATGAAAGTTAATGTGAGATGGATGGCGTGCAAATCAGAACATAGGCCATGCCCAATCTTACACTTCCTAGCAGAACTAGATGATTCTGAGAGTGTGGTACTGTCTTCTTGGATGTTTTCAAGGAAATCTTAGCAGTGGAGTTAATTCTGACTCTTAATATTTTAGTTCTCACACTCCAAGGAAGGCTGTGTTTGCTGGAAGCATGCAGTTGCTGGCCGGAGTCAAGCTATGCACCGGCAGGACCTTAACCAACCACCCGCACTATGAAGACAACAGCCTGAGGGAGCGAACCAAAGCGGTAAGGCCCGTCTTAACCTTTGCCCACTGCTTGTGGACAGTCAAGGCCCAGGATACCCATGTTGGTAAAGGTTCACATAAGGAACTGGGGCTTTGTCTCCTGTTCTGGACTTCGGCCTGCTCCCATCTGCTAAAGGCTGTTCAGGGTGCCCAGAAAGGCACTGCACACCTGTAATCCCAGCAACTCAGAAGGCTGAGGCTGGAGGATGGCAAGTTCAAGACTAACTACAGTAATTTAGCGAGGCCCTAAGTTTATAGCGAAACCCTGTCCCAAAATAAAGCATAAAAGGAGCTGAGGATGTGGCTCAGTGGTCAAGTACCCTGGGTCAGTAATCCCCAAAATGGATGGATGGATGGATGGATGAATGAATGAATTGGTAGGCAGGTAGGTAGATAGATAGATAGACAGATAAATAGAGGCAGTTTAGGAGGCTACATGCTCCTCTCACAGGAATAACTGAGAAGATAAATGGCCTGGGATGTGCAGAAGAGATGGTTTAGGACAAAGCACTCAAGAGTTTTGAGTTGGGGAGGGAAGGAAAGGAGTGGAGGCATACTGGTCACAGTTTTATAAACCATTTTAAGGGCTGTTTTCTCATATGTGGTATTATTGTTGTTGCTCTTTTTAAAATAAATAATGCTAACTACATAACTATAAAGGGGAATTAGTGAAAAGTTTCCCTCCCATCCCTGTATTCCAGCTACTTGTGCCCCTCCTCTGAAGCAAATAATGTGGCTCGATTCTTGGGTATCCTCCCTAAGGTATTTTACTAATATACCAACAATCTTATATATATATATATATCATGCATAATATATATTGTGTGTGTATTTAAAACAAAGGAGCTGTCAATTTGCTAATATAGAATGATCTCCAAAATATATTGTCAAAAAAGCAAGGTGTTCTTTGTTCCTTCTTTGTTTAAAAAAAAAAGAATGCATTTGAATATATGTGTATATGTATACGTGTATGCATATTTTAAGAATATGAATATATACATACATATATTCCTCCTTTTTTTCTAAAAAAAAAAGGAGCCATATTATACCTTGCTTTTTTCTTTATTTTACTTATTTATTTTTTGCTTTTTTTGTGGTACTTTGGATTGAACCCAGAGACACTTGACTACTGATCTACATCTCCAGCCCCACCTCCTTTTTTCCCCCTTACTTTGTGAGAGGGTCCCACTAATTTTTTGAGGCTGACCTCAAACTTGGGATCCTCCTGCCTCAACCTCTGAAGTTGCTAGAAGTTGTACCCAGCACACCTTGCATTTTCAACACTATTTTGGAGTTCATTCTATATCAGCATATTAACAGCTTCCTTGTTTTTGTTAAAGCTGCATAATACTTTATGTGGATGTAGCAATTTTTATTTAACTATTGGCCATTTTCCTGTCTTTTTGCAATCCTATACAGTGCTCCAAATAATAAGCTTAGATATGCATATTTGCATCTGTACATCAGATTCTTAGATGTGTAATCACTAAGCCAATGGGTATAGGCATCTGTAATTTAGATAGCTAGATATTATCAAGTCACCCCCCCACAGGTTATATCAATTTACATTCTAGTTAACAATGCAGTAGGATACCTCTTACCCTTCCCTAGTCCTCATCAGCAAGGTTTCAAACTTTTTAATGTTTCATATTTGTCATTTCTCAATGTTACTAGTTGAGTCTTATTTTTAGGTGAGATATAACTAGCTTTAAAGCAAATTATTTTTACTAAATCCCCTATTTTTAGGGGAAATTATCTGAATTTAGACTCCTGCTAAAATGAGAATTTTTCAAATGGCCCTAGTGTTCCAGACAGCTCCAGGTTCAGAAGAAGAATGAAATGTTCAGTCAGAGGTAGCCTAGGCTGTGTAGGCTGGAGAGCCATAGAAAGACCGGTCCTTTTGTGTACTGCCCCTGCAAAGAGACACCACGTGCTATGCCCTGATAACTGACCTTCTGCAAGTCTTGGTGCTTGTCCTTAGTCGTGACCTTCACATGCAAGGAACACCTCCATCTGAGCCCTTGTGCTAGACTGAGGGGTGGCCAACCTAAGTTTTCACAAGAGCAGCAGCTCACCTCCCTACCATTTCACCTCTCCATGTGAACATCCTGAATCAGGCCCTCACACCCAGTCCCATAAGTCAGGGCTCCTAACTGGAAATTGGGTGATAACAAAGGAAGCAGCGTCTCTCTTAAGACCTTCACACACACTCTGCCCCGCCACACAACCTCTTCCCAATGCCGGGTCTCAGAACACAAGACACCAAAGAATGTGTGCATTCACTTGGGGCCCTTGGCACTGGGAGTGAATTCCCAGGGGCTACAGGTTACTCATGCTCCAGGGAAGGATGAGAGGTGGAGGTGGATGTCAGTGTCTCCTAGTCAAGGGAGAAGCAGCATAGCAGCAGTTGCTTCCATGACCTAGGACCAGGGACCCCATTCAGGGGTCCTTTTTCCCACCTGCCATCGTCAGAAGCTGGCTCTCCTCCTTACCAACACATATTTATCTTATTTCCTGTGTTGTTGTTATTACCTTGATGAAGCATTCTTAGACATGGCATCTACTGATGAATGTATTCATAACTTGAAATAATACATTCCAAATTCAAGTGTATTTGGTATCTGAATCTCAATGTATTCAGCATGACTCACTCTCCCTCTGTAAATAATTACAGTATTCTTTTAGCCATTCCCACATATACAACATTCCAGCACTGCAGATAAGTGATAGTTGGGGCAGCAGGTGGGAGACCTGTGTGTTTAGGTCTTAGCTCACCCCCTTATGGGGGTAACTTCATATTTCTCAATTAACTCTCAGGCAATTAAGATGTATTTTGCCATATTCCATTTTTATCTCATTTTGAAGGTTTATCAGATATACGCAAAGAGGTCCCCAGAGGACGTGCACGCCCTTCTAAGGTCCTTCGGCACTGACTACATAATCCTGGAAGACAGCATATGCTATGAACGCAGGCACCACCGGGGCTGCCGGCTGCGGGACCTGCTTGACGTCGCCAATGGACACGTGAGCATGTCACCTCCTCACATGCAGGGAATCTCTCAGAGGGGTGGGATTCCAATATAAATCCTAAGCAGTGTAAATCTTTTTATAATTTAAATTCATATAGACGAGCGTCCCCTTATATATCCACAAGAATTATATTTATATGCATTCTACAGAATTCTCTGCCCTGGCACTTTTGTGACTGCCACAGGAGCTGGGCAAGGGGTAAGAGCAGCTCTGAGGTCCCCGATTCTGTGTTTAACAGTAACTCTGCTTTTGGCTGGTTTGCATGACGAAGCTCTGTTTCTAAGAGCTTCCTGCTGAAAACAAAACTTCAAAACACTGCTCCAAAGCATCATGTTAGTTCCTCCATGAATGAGTGGTGGTGGTCCATTCTTACTGTTCTTTCTGCCTGCCCTGGGACATATTCTCTTTCTTCAGATAGACATTGCAAAAAGGGCCAGGCATGTAGCCCGTACCTTTAAATCCCAGTGGCTCAAGAGGCTGAGGCAGGAGGATTGCAAGTTAAAGGCCAGCCTCGGCAACACCATGGCACTAAGCAACTCAGTGAGACCCTGTCTCTAAATAAAGTACAAAATAGGGCTGGGGATGTGGCTCAGTGGTCGAGTGCCCCTGGGTTCAATCCCTTGTACCTGCCCCCCCGCCCAAAAAAAAATTACAAAAAGGCAAATTGTGCTCCTTTAGTCTTAACAGCTCTGAGCTCTGTGTGCCAGCAGCTCTTAGTTCTATCCCAGCGACTCTCAGGAGCTGGAGCTAACAGCTTCTCACAGCCCTCTGCAGTCAGAGCTAAAGGCTCCCAGCAGCTCTTCCGCAGCTCTCTGGCTGCTAGCTGTTCTCAGGGCTGGCAGCCCTATTTCTACTGTAGATAGAAATCATGAATAGGCAAAATAAAACTAAGCCAGACCATTGTGGCTTATGCTGTAGCACAAAAGGGGCAGCGAAGGAACAGGACTTCCAGACAGGCCCAGTGAGGCTGAGAGGTACACAGTCTCCTGCCCACTAATTGCAGGATTTCTGTGCCAGCATGCCAGTCTGCAAAGGCTGGCCTGTCCTGGCTGTCATGGATGTCATCACTCACAGACCCGAGTGATGACATCTGAAGTAGATGCATGGTAGGCAGAGACAGAGCCACTCCAGGGCACAGGTCTCGTGGGGTGGTTTAGGACAGCTGTAGCAACCAAAGCAACATCTTCTGGAGCCATCAGGAGCATCGGGAGTATCGGGGTGGCTGTCATGTTCACAATAACAGGCCAGCTCAACTGTTGAAGGGGAAGCTGCTTGATTGACAGCTCCCACAGTTTCCACAGAAGCAATGAGACTGAAGTCATAGCTGCTGTCACCTCCAGTGACACTTTAGGAGCAGTGATAGTATTGACCATCACCCAGCTCCAAGTCATGTGGATGATAGCAGGAGCCCTCAATCTCTACCCAACCTAGCCTACTTTTTAGTGTCTCTAGAGTGGGCACCCAGGGGAGCTGTCAGCAAAACATTAGGAACATTGAAAGATACAGGAGTGGTCCAAAGCCTGGTGCGGCAGGGCATGGCATGGTTGCCTCAGCAGCCACAGACACCCACTGCTTTCTTCCCTGAACCTTCCTGGCAGGCGGGCAACTGGTGCTGGCACTGCAGTTGGTGCAGTCTCAGCCCCAGTCTTTGCCCTACCTTCATCTCCCTTTGTTCCACCAAGCAAAGCAGCGAGGCATGGGAAAGGGTCGAGATGTTAGGGCCTCAGAGGCCTCCTGCCACCAGCCCAGCCAGAAAAGAAAAATAAAAGCAAAAAGGTAGTTCCCTTTGAAGGAGGTCAGGCCCTCCTGTTCCACCTCAGTCTGCACATGAGAACAGCCATGGAGATAACTTTCTGTACCTTGCTGCACTCCAGAGAGATGGCAAACGGTGTCTGCCTTCTACCCCCAAGGAAAACATACTTGGAGCTGTACTGGGTCTCAAGCAGAGCCAACAGAATTTTCTCCTTTTGTGGGAGAGCGGTGTCTGTATAACTGTTGTGTAAAAGCAGCTGTTTATAAATAAATGGGACCAAATGATAGACCTCTAAATTTGGGGGGAAAAAAACACTTTACTGTACAGAATATGAAATTCAGATTTTGCCCAAAATAAATAATAGCAACTAGCCTGAATTCAAAGGTGATACAGATTAAAGACATGCATTTGAATTTTGCTTTGTGTGTAACTTATTCTTAGTAATCCTTCTGACAAGTTAGAGAATATTGATTTTAGTAGAAATCTGTATTTCATTTTTGTGAGAGAAGCTGTATAGTACCTATCTAAGAACAAGGAGATCCAAGTTCTAGTCCTGACTTTGCCATTATTGGTGATCATTGTGGGATACAACTCTTCTTATCTGCCTTAGTTTATACTTTCAAAGGGGGAGAAGTCTGGACTCCCCCTCCAAAAGTATAAACTAAGATGGATAAGAAGAGTGATCTCTAAGTAGCCATTGACATTGAGATAATAGTTTCACTAACAAATCATCCGTAAGGAAACTTAGTAGCTATTCTTGCTTCTATTGTTTCCACCCGCCCCCATACTAGGAATTGAACCCAGAGCCCTGCACATCCTAGGCAAGTTTACTAGCACTGAGCCACATCCTCAGCCCTTTTTTTTTCTAATTATTATTTTATGTTGAGATGGGGGTCTTGCTAAGCTGCCCAGGCTGACCTTGAACTTGGAATCATCCTGCCTCAGCCTCCTAAGTACTTGGGATTATGGGCATGTGCCACTGCCCCCAGCTTTGGTTGTGATTCTTCCCCCCTCCCAAATTACATTTGGGTTGGCTTGGGTTTTAGATGATGGATGGCCCTGGAGACAATGATCCAGATTTGAAGCCTGCAGACTACCCTCGCTTCTGTGAAGAGATAAAGAGGAACCTGCCCCCCTACGTGGCACACTTCACTCGAGTGTTTCAGAACAAAGCATTCCATGTCTACAAGCTGACCAGGAGCAAGTAATGGAGATCTCTGCCCAATCTCTGTTTTGACACACTGAGACTCCCACGTAAGGAACCGTGGTAGCTGACGCTTCCTGTGTGGTGGGGCAGCCTGTCCCTGAGAGCTGTGCTGTGAGAGTGTCCTGCAGATGTTTACACAGCATTACTATCTTTGGAAGCATCTTGGCAAGCTTAAGTCTGTCTTTGTCTCGTCCCTCCTCATTTCCATTAATGATCTTTAGCTTAATGGGTTTCACATGCCTGAGCTAGGATTTTGTTGTTGGGGAGAGTGGTGTGCTTTCCGCAGATGACCTGTACAACTACATGCCATGCCAGAAAGTGAGATCCCATCAGGATTTGAAATGCTTTGATTTTCGGTGGACTTAAGACAGCACTGGTTGAGTGTAATTGAGAGGATGCATAATTAAATTATTTAATATTATTTCACTAGTGAAAACCAATCAGTGGCTTTTTTTTAAAAAAAAACTCTTTATTGTGCTGTTTCACCTTAAAATTTTATAATGTTTTCCAACAATTGTGCTTTTAACGTGAAAAAAAAATCATTTTAGGTCTTTATATGTATCTTAAACATTTCGTGTATTCTCTTTGAAATGTTATATGTTCAATAGTATGTGTCATACATTGAGAGAGAATGTGTGTGTGTGTGTTTGTGTGAGAATGCTAGGCACAGAAGAAGTATAAGTTCTAGATTGTAAGTCCTAAAGGGGGCAAAAGTGGATACAGTCAAGTAGAATTTGTTTAGTAAGCAGCAAGACTGTTTACTCTTATTATTGTAAACCTTATTGATACTCTTCAGTCTCTCTTGCAAGTAAAATAGTTCTGCTTCATTTCTTACCCATTTCAATTTACTGGGTTTGCAAAATTTTGTAAACTTTTTGTGTTTTTAGCCTTTGTATTTTTTACAGCCTAGAACCTTGCAAAGCTGAATATTTTTTCAATGTTGTATCTTGACTAGTTCACTAACACAGTATTTTTGGCAGACAGCATTTTCATACCAGGTTTGACTTGGGGTCTCCAATCTTATCATGTGGGCTCTGGTAATGTTATCGTTTTCCTCGCTAAAAGGTAACCAAGTGCCTCTAAGTCATGCTTATTTGTAAACAACAAAGGGGATTATATGTACCTGCTCAAAGTTTTTTGATAATTGCTTTTATACTTCATTTCTAATGATAGGGGGATGTGTACAAGTTGCTGATAAAAGCATATTGTCCATTTAATTAAATCAACGTGGCTAATGAAATTAACTTTCTCCCCCGTTCTTGCCAGTTGGAGATGATTTAAATGTTTCTCCTTGTGGTTGTACTGAAGTAAATTGCCATAGGCTTCAAGATGGACAGCATCGCATGTTCAGATGATTTTATATTCAGTTACTACTTATTAGGCAGCATTCAAAAAAATTTACATTGTCTTTTTGGACACAAGAATACCCGGCTGTTATTAAATTATGCAACTGAAATTCCTGAATTATATCTTTCCTGTATCCCTTAATAAGGTTGGAGACCACTGCAGTTTAGGATAATACAATAATAAAACATTTTAATCAGTACTAAAACTCTAATTAAGCCAGTAATGATGCATGTCTGTTGTAGCTGACAGCATGGGTCAGTACATCCTTCGGTGAGTGCCTTACTCTAATTGAAACCAAGCACATGTAAGGTACAAGATGTTGAGACTATGTGATTTCATTTAAAAAAAAAATCTCTGTTACTTTTTCATGTATATTTAAATCTATTTTAAATATTCCTATTTGTATTAGTCTAAGCATTTGAGTACTTAGAGTCTCAGTATACAAGAATCGTGTACTTAAATTTGTATGCTTGTCATCCCCACAGTGATGGCGTAGTGATTTTTTTTCATAATGCCATCGTTGCCAACACATTGAGTGTTCAGTCTTCAGTGAAAATATAAAGTGCCAAAAAGTCATGCAAGACGGAATCCATGCATACATTCTTTCCAAGACACTGTGACCATGTACAGTACCAGTTGTCAGAATTCTTTCTTTTATGACCTTCTCATTGGAGCATACAGTACAAAAAGCATCTGATTCTGGCTCTGACTTTCAGCATCTCTGCAAGCCAGAGCAGGAGACCTGTGGCCTAAACTCCCTGTCACACAGGCCTTGGTAGCTGTTTAATGTATGGTAATAACCTCAAACGAAGGTTCTGTTTTTGTGAATAGAACAAACACCAGATTTTGCTTCTGAGTTCCCAAAGAGAAACTCTAAGTTCAATAGAAGTGCTCTTAACTGACTCTGCTTATCACTCCACAGAGCCCTGGAGTCTCCATCTCTCTGCAGCTACCTGCTCCAGCCCAGCACAGCCAGGTGCCACGCCCTGGTACTCCCAACACTCCTCCTCCCTCCCCCCTTCTGTTCCATTCCCACACCAGACCTCGCTGTGTGAGTTCCTCTGATTATAAGTACACAACTCAGCTGTGTATAAGCCTAGGAAATATGGATGTGAAAAGAGTTATTTCTGTAAAAATTAAGTTGACCGTTTTGATGTGGAAACACTTCAACTGCTAATAAAAATCACTTTTAAATTTAATGTGGTTAACAAAATCATGAAATTCTGAGGGAAACATAAAAATCAAGAAAATTCCTGAACTTAGATTGCTTCACAGATTTTTCTGTGTACTCACTCTGCCTTTTAAAAGTCTGAACCAATAGGAAGGTGGTCAGATGTACCCAAATCATGTTATTGGTATGACTTGTACAAGAAATGAACAACAGTCACTGAACCCTCGTGCAGAAGAAAGTCCTTATTAGCTTCACATCAAAAGATTAGCAGATGAAGGACTGGGGGTGCAGCTCAGTATAGGAGCATTTGCCTCACATGTGCAAAGGCCGGGCTTCCTTCCCCAGCACCGGGGAGGAGAGAAAGAAAAGACGGGTGAATGAAAGTACATTTGTACATTGCAGGTAATGCTTCCCTACTTGAACCTAGGTACTTTGTTAAAATGCCAACTATAGGTACAGATCACAATGACCCATAGAGATTCTACTAGGGTAGAAAGGCCCTGGGGACACTTTCATTACAGGCATTTATAGGATAGGGCTTCATTTCAGATGTGTTGGCCAGGAATGTAATAAAGGTTTATCTAGGCCGCTCATTGTCTCTTAAAGATGATCTGACTGACCTGTGTGAATTGACCTCAATAAGTTGTGTGTGTGTGTGTGTGTGTGTGTGGTGTTGGGTGGGTGCTGCCAGGGCAAGGGCATGTGTAAATATTTCATCAGATCTGCATCTTTATTTCACAATTAACTAGAAAATGTTTGTTCTGATTCGTATTAACTTTGACTAAAATGTTAAAAATTTAGCTCATCTTTGGCCCAAATCTACAGAATTATCATAGAAATATTTAATTTTAAAATGTTAATTCAATCCTTAGAGTTAATAGGATGATAATAAAATGCGCTCAGATCATGTATCTTGGTTAACATGCTCCCAAACGCTCCATATATGACGACCTTTTGACCTAGAAGAGAAAGCTTGTCTGTTCATGGAAGAAGAGTCTTTTTAAGGTGAGAAAGTGGCTTACTCTCTTGTGACAACTAATTTTCTGTTTTTTACATCCTATGGGTAAAATCTTACAAAGAGCTTTTATATAAGTTGTACTGAATTGTATGGAGATTATATACTAAATAAAGCTCTTTTAGATTACACAAGATGAGTGTATTTCATTTCTTTGAAGGCCAAAATCCAAGGAACCTATTTATTTAAAATGCAATAACTGTATGCTAAATAGAGTAAATCACTAATCATTGTTAATGTTGAAGGAGTTGGGTTTTTTTTTTCACTTAGATTTCAGTTTGATAGCTGCTTATTAGTTCATTTGAATCATTTAGATTGCTAAAGAGAAGGCTTCTGTGTTACTGAGCTTCTCATCACTAGGACCAAAATACCTGACAAGAACCACTTAGAGGAGGAAGAGGTTTATTGAGGGCTCAGTAAAATTTGAGCTGAAAATATAAATTATTTCTGTTTTAACCTTAAAATAGTTTCTACTTCATTGTTATCAACCATTAATAATTCAGGAAGATGGGTGATAGTACGTATTTTTGGTAAGAGTTTATGGAGACAAACATATGACTGTTGTGTCGTTCAAAACAAGTCAAAATTCCAGGCAGAAATTGTCAGAAAAACAAATAGAAGAAACTGGCAGTGGGATCTCACATATCCTGTTCTAGTGAAGTATGAATTACAGACAGTATACGTAAGTGGAAGGGGATGTGAAGGAACTGGATGTGGTTTGGCACAGGACAACCAGGCACTTGGCAGATTAAATGCTTTTTCTCTGCTCCTCCTTTCAGAAAAGCTATCTGATATGCATTTCATGGGCCTTTTCAGTTAATTTAATATTTAGAAGTTTGCTACATAGGCTTGTTCTCAAAATGCACATAATATAGATACAACACAATGTGAAGTCAATGCCGTCGATTGCAACCAACAGTTAAAGGAAGGAATGAAGGGAGAGGGGAAGAGAGACAGATCTACACGGTAAATAAAGGTATTGTTTTATATAATATTTTTTTCAGTTATACATTGTAGGTATTGGTGTGCTGGGGTGTGATAGAGAGTACACTTTTTTTACTGTGAGTTTTACTCAGTGTAAAACCCATACCTTACAGCACGGGGTGTTCTGGGAGGATGGCAATTTGAACTTCTCTGTTCTTGTCCCTTAGTCAACTCTAGGAGAACTGTCTGAACACTTATGATATTAAAGAAATATCATATAAACATATACTCAAATAATACCAGGTGCAATATGGGCATTTTGTTATTTTTAAGTCCTTTTAAAAATATATTGTGAAATATTTATAGACAAGATTATATGTCAAAATTATATACCAAAATTATTTTGTGGGTCATCTGGAAGAAATGAGACTGGCCAAGTGATACAATTAGTTGGGAATTTTTTGTAATCAAAAGATAGAAATTGGAACCAACTAAATAAATGAGGAAGTTAAAAATATTTAAATGATAAAAACTGAAATCAGAAATAGTAGAAAGGATAAATCAATCCAAGCTCCAGTTCTTTCTAAAAGACAAATGAAATAAACACCTTGTAAACCTGATTTTTTTTTTAAAAAAAAAAAAAAGGTAAAAATATGTAATATTAGGACTGTGAAATAAGATATAATCCCAGAATCAGGAATGATAAAATAAATTATATGAGAAAACTACATGGAATTCTGTGACAAAAAAAATAATAAATTGAAAACTTTTCAGGAAACAGATGATTTCTTAACAAAATAGAAGTTAACTTGAATAGACAAGAATCATATAATATCTGAAAAAGAGTTCAAGGGACACTTAATACAGGTACGTGCAAAAATCTATTTTAAAAGGGGTGACAAGACCGGGCATAGTGATGCACATAACTCAAGAGGCTGAGGCTGGAGGAACTCAAGTTCCAGGCCAGCCTCAGCAATTTAGTGAGGCCTTAAGCAATTTAGTAAGACCTTGTTTTAGTCAGCTGTTCAGCTGCTGTGACCATAAGACCTGAAAAGAACAATCAGAAGAGAAAAAGTTTATTTGGGGACTTAAAGTTTCAGAGGTCTCAGTCCATAGATGGCCGACCCCATTCCTCTGGGCCTGAGGTAAGGCAGGACATTACAGGAAAGCAGCTTAGGACATGGCACAAAGAAGTGGAGACAGACAGAGCTCCACTCACCATGGATAAAATATAGACCCAAGAGCATGGCCCAAGCGAACCACTTTCCGAAACACGTGAAATTTGGAGGACCTCTTCAAGCTCATACAAGTTAATAAGCAGAATTAATTTACTTAGGCTTGTAGGTCTGAGGTCATCAGCACCTCCAGGCCACCCCTATTCATAGGCACAGGCTGGGCCTCTCCAAAGACAGCAGGAACATCTCCACAAATGGTCCAGTTCTCTTTAAGGGCTTTAAGTCAGACCCACCCAGTATAATCTTCCTTGTTATTAACTCAAAATTTGGTTTGGGACCTGAATTATACCTGAAGAATCCCTTCACCTTTGCCATGCAGCATAGCCTAGTTGTGGGAGGGACACCCATCATAGTCACAGGTCCCACCTACACTCAAGGGGAGAGTCCTATACAGGGCATTCCTATGAGGGCTGGGAATCTTGGGAACCATACTAGAATTTGTCCTAAGATGAAGTTAAGAACAATAGAGTAGTTTGAAAGACAGATCTAGCTACAACTGAGTATTTGGAAGCACCTAACAAAGTTATAAAGTTTTAGAGAACGGAAACAGGAGTTCTTTCCAAGGAGTCTTTTCCAAGGTGTAGCACAGGAAAATGGAGCCCAAGCAGAGTATGGCGGGCTTTCGAGAGGAAACAGATTGGAGTTCATGTCTGCTGAGGTGGCTGGGATTGAGCAAGGGTTTGGAGGGGCTGGACATTGGAAAGAAGTAAGTTGCAACAAAGAAAATCTGAGAATTTCTCAGTGGATCTATGACCAATTCCTAACCTGCTCAGGTATAGTTTGGCAGAGAAGATCTGATAAGTGGCAGATTTCACAGGTTAGGCAGATTTCACAGGTTACCTAATGCTCAGGAGACATTGGAATTGAGGCCCAACCAGGGCTGAATTCACGTTGGTAAAGCTCCCAGCCATTCAGTTGAGACCCTAAAGGGAGTATAACTCATCCTGAGAGAGAAGACTATTATCCGAATTGCCTTTCAGAAGCAAATGTAAATCTGCTATTGTGTTAAGTCACTTCCATCACTGACAAAACACTCAAGATGGATCATCAAATTAAAAGGAGGAAAGATTTATTTTGGCTCAAGGTTTCAGAGGTTTTGATCTATAGTTGCTTTGCATTATTGCTTTGGACCTATGATGGAACAGAACATGAGAGGAGCATGTTAGATATTGCCCATTCACATCATGACAGCCAGGAAGCAGAGAGGAAGAGAAAGGGCCCAAGATCCCAAATCCCCTCCACGGGTACACCCCCAGTGACCTAACTTCCTCCAAAAAGGCCCTGTCTCTTAAAGGTTCCACCAGGACCCAGTTGTGACACAGGCTGGGAACCAAGTCTTTAACACATGGGCCTTTGGGGGACATTTCAAATCCAAACTATAGTGGCTATGAAGGATGATAAACTCATCTGTGGCCTCATTTTATCTCTAAAAATTTTATATGCACTGTGCAGCACTCAATCAAAAATAACTAGGAATAATTTTTAAAAAACAAGACAAACAAAATTGAAATGGAAACAGCCACAGGCAAATTAGATATTAGAGTCTTAAACAGACTTTCATATAACTATGTTTATATACAGGAAATTAAATGACAAGATGAAGAATTTAAGTATAAAGAACCAAAAACTATAAAATAGAACAGAATGGAAATACTAGAACTGAAAAGTGTGACAAATTACATATTCATTTTTGGGTTAAAGAGCAAATTAGATACAGCCAAAGAGAGAATTGATAAATTGGACAGTAGTTTAAAAGAAAATTTCCAAACTAAAAGGTAAAAATCAAAGGAAAGAGCATGAAACTTATTTTAGAACATGTCCCTTTATCTTGTGGGTGTAAATAAATTCCCACAAGGAGAGGAAATTATGGGTCTGGGTGATTTTGTGCAAGCCACTTGTCTTAATCCATTTTGTGCTGCTATAACACAATATGAAGCCAGGTAATTTATAATGAATAGAAATTTATTTCTTCATAGTTCAGGAAACTGGAAAATCAAGATCAAGTTACCTCTAGTACCTGGTCAGGGTGTTCTTGATGAATCATGACATCACGGAAGGGGTCAAGTGACAGAAGGGCAAATAGAGGGCAAGAATAAGACAAAAGGAGGTCAGACTTGTCCTTTTAGAAGGAACCCACTCATGATAATGGCATTTCTGCATTCATGACATCAGAAACTTCATGACCTAATCCCCTCTTGAGGATCCCCCCTCTTAGCATTATCAYATTGGGGATTAAGGTTCCAACACATACTTGTTGAGGGTCACATTCAAACCAAACTTTTATTCCTAGCTTCAGTTCTTCTTTTGTAATTGGGGGTGTAATAATCTGTCCATAAGGTTGTTGGGCATGTTAAATGATGTTACATTTAAAGCTCTAGCTCCAATACCCAGCACATGGTAATCACAATCAATGGAAGCTGCAGGATATCATCATCATTATCAAACCTGGAATGTGAAAAAGTGTGAAGAACAAAGTTACATGTGAAACGGGGACTAAAAAGCCCTCAGTGATTTCCTGTTAAGTATTGTTGCTGCAGAAAATATCTCACAAACAAAAATAACTACCTTAGGACTTGGAGATTAACAGAACATTTAAAAGACAACCAACTTTGTCTTGAGGTCTATAGTTGCATTGCAAGAAAAGAGGTGTGAGTGTGTGTGTGTGTGTAAGAGAGAATAGCCTTGGACAAAGATAGAGACTGGTGGAGATTGACTTTAGAAGAGCCATTATCATTGTTGAAGATAAGTGTCAAACCTCTGCCAAGATACACATATTCATAAAGGAGAAGTGGCTGATTGTGTGTGAATCTGCTCAAGAGAGGGAAAAGAGTGAGGGAACATGATTTCAGGACTAGCACAGTAATTAGAACAGCAGTGTGCTAATTAAGGCTCATAAATTTAATGAAACTATTAGCATTTTTCTCTTGCAAGAA